AAGTATGGAGAAAACAACCAGTTCTGTATTTCCAGTTGTTTCCCTTGCATGCACTAATGGATGTCTGACAATTTCATCACTTTTTTAAGTTTAGATTTAAAAAAACATCTGTAGATATATCGACCACACTCATTATGTGGTACTGTTGCTCTCACAGAACACAACTTATTTAACTTTGTAATGTAAACTAAAAAGTACCGTCAGATGAAATCCTGCAGGTTACAATGCTTTCTCTGTCAATGCAGTCAGTATGCACGACACTTTTTATAACATTGCACGCCGCGCCACATCCGAAGATTAACGACTTGGAGCCGAATCTGGCCGAACTGGTTATGATCACCAGCATGTTTATGATCCTTCTGTACACAGAGACATTTGCATTGATGGGTGACCATTTTGTGAATAGGAACACATTTGCATTAAGCACCCAGTTTGCACTTGTCTAAAGTAATTGGTTACATTTACAAAATAAGCCTACAATAGCAGAAGTAAGCCCTGCTGAAATTAAGGTTTAAACACTCTTCAATAAGGCTTCAGTTGTTTAACTAGTTTACATGCAGTGAAAGTAGGCTACAATAAACCCGTACTACTGCAATTACTCTTTTATGAATAAGCAATTCATAAACTACTAATAAACGGCAAGCTACTTCTTCATTGATGATTCCTAGCGGTTTAGAGGAGAATTACTCCAAGTGGCCCCATGTCGTTTCACAGAATAGCACAACAGCAAGCGCATCAAGTATAAAAGCCTTTGGCTTGGAGAGTCCGTTTGGAGAGTTGCAGGCGCAGTCAGCTCTGCCTTCGCGGTTGAGCTTAACATCTGTCTGTCTCACTCTAGATTACAGGATATTTAAATTAATTTGCGGTAAAACTAGTCGATCACAAGTGGCTCAACATGTAGATCTATAGACCATTTCTCAAGATGTAAACAACACTGGTCCAGAAGCACTTCCTGTTTCAGTTTGTAACTCCCACTCATTCTCCGCCCACCCCGGACTACTAATCATCCTCCCCTGCCTTCATCACCTGTCTTCACTTCCCATTCCAATCACCTGCAATATAAAAGACTCACTCACTCAGTCCTTCACTGTCTGGTCTCGTCTTCACTACAACTACAGACTCCATACTCGCTGAGTATTCCACGGCATCACTTACCTGCTAAGAAGCCGTTCCTCCAGTCAGCTCCCGTTTCTAGTTCCTCTCGGGTCTCCTCGTTTCCAGCCAGCTCCATCCGACCCTGCTAAGAGATAAGAGACTCCTCATCCGACTGTTCCGCTTCCATTGAGTGATCTGCATCTTCATTACTCACCTGCCTGTGATCATTGACTATCCATTTCAATAAACTCCGTTTATACTTACCCGTCTGTGTCCTTCTGGTTTGTGACACATTATTAGCACCTCAGCTCCACCCACGTCACGCCTCTTTGCCCATTTTATTTTATTGGGATGTGACGAGAGGTGAAGCGCTGCAAAGATGGCGGCGGTCAGCCCACTTCAGGGTTCAAAAAAGCTCTTCAGAAACCTACAGGTGATGTCACAGATACTATGTCCATAAGGAACGCAATCTCGGCTCCTAGCCTTTTCTGGGCTCGCGCCTATTGATCGTCTCATTTTACACCCACATTTCAGTCCTGAATTAGTAGTGATATTGGTAGTATCACTACTAATTTACCGTTCATCTGTTATAATGGCGAACATATCGAATGTGTGACTAACGTTACCTCTGAGTGCAGGTGAGGACACATTCGAGCTGTTTTCGGTACGATTGGAGCTGGAATTCATGGAGAAGCAGATCCGTGGTCTGCTGGAGAAGCAAGCCAAGCTGCGAGATCGGCGATCAGCACTTGAAACATCACGCGCTGATGAACTGAAACTGCGCTAATTAAAAAATTACAAATGATTTACTTTTAGCTTCTGACCAAGGTTGTATCTCAATACTAGTTCTGCTTGATCTTTGCGCTGCGTTCGACACTATAGATCATAAAATACTCTTGGATTGACTACAAAACTACACTGGTGTTCAGGGACAGGCATTAAGCTACAGGAAATCACAATATATCTAAATATGTTTAGATCTTCACAGTGAAATGTAAAACTTCAGAAATCTCTGGGCAAACAATGAGTGACGTACACTCGCAAGAGATCACTTCCGGCACACCCGTGCCTTCAGATCAGGATGTGGCCGTGATTACAAGAGGTAAAAACGACATAAATACTGTTCGTTTCCTCACGCAAACCGTTTCGTGTCTTAGGCCATCAATGTGTACTTACATTTAGGGCCAATCCCAATTCTACCCCTTACCCCTTCCCTTTCCCCTAGCCCTAGCCCTACCCCTTCGCCTTCCCCTTGACCCTTGAAACAGAGTGGCAATGCGTAGGGGTGAAAATATTCCCCTAAGAAATGGGACACCACTACGCCTCCGTTAAACGTCATTATAAGTCGTCGCTAGCGCCTACGTCACAGGATATGCGCCGATGTTTATCACAACTTCCAAGATCCCGTCGACAGCTGCAGTTATCTCAGTCGCGTGGGTTACAGCTATTTTCTTGCATCTTGTGAAGTTCGCAGGAAACAACGGAGACGACGAAAATATGTTGCGGGACTATCGTTAGCAAACTACAGTAATTTTAGCGATTTTTTTACAAACGGTTCTGTGAAGAAACTGACCGTAAATATGATCACAATATTGAATGTAACATAAAGCAAATCATTATTTGTCGTTATAATACTTATTAAAGCCACAAATACTTAAATTTATGGGTCTCCTTTGTCGCTTGGGCAGCCAGCCTGGGTTAGCAGTGACACTTCTCATACCCCTTCGTTTGAAGTGTGCTCCCGAAAAATCTTCGTTTGAAGGGCTATCTGGCCCTTCCCCCTAGCCCTCCCCCTCCAACCAAAAGAGAATTGGGACAGCCCTACCCCTTCACGTGGACGCGCAAAACGGAGGGGAAGGGGAAAGTGAAGGGGTAAGGGGTAGAATTGGGATTGGCCCTTACAAGTCATTAAATCATGTTTAATTTGGACTTCTCTTTGCATGCTCTTTTAGGAGATCCCCATAGACTTCCATTATATGATTGACAAACAACAACGGTTTGATCTAAAAATAGCAAAATTGAAAATACTGTGGAAACAAAGACACCTACATCTTGGATGCCCTTGAGGTAAGCTAAAACATATCAAAAATGTATTTCAAAGTGAAGTATCCCTTTTAACGCACCGGTGTGGCTTGACAGGCTTATTCAAACAGGTTGGCATGTATGGTTGGGTTGCAGAGAGATTGTGAGATTGTGGTTAGGTCTCAGCAGCAGGAGGGATGTAGTGGTCAGTAAGCTGGGCTGAGTTGAGTGGGGGATGGAGGGGGATGACTCTGGGATGCCTGAGTCCCTGTCTTCAAGTTTTTAAGATCTACTCCTGTGTAATGGAAATCATTATGAACAGCAGCTATGCTAATTATTTCCCATTTGCTTTTCTGAAAAATGGTGTTAGTCAGCTCCAGTTTGTATCCAGCCTCTCATGGAGACTTCAGATGCCCCAACACCTGCGATGAGACGACGAAACGCCTATGAAGAGACGACTCAACGCCGGCGATATGTTATGCCATAAATTATTACATGATTAACTAAATTTATTTTTCCATGTACATTTCTGAAATACACTTTTTGTAAAGCTACTTTGAAACAATATGTATTGTGAAAAGCGCAATACATATAAATTTGAATTGAATTGAATTAAGGGGCTCTGTATCTAAATTGAATATAAATTTGCCATTATTAAATCTACAAAAGTGATTCAGTCAAAATTCAGTGATTCAGGCAGCAAGTGAGCTCTGCGTGTATTTAACATTTTTAACTCATTTAAGACTGTGCTTTTGAGTTTACTCAACAACATGGGCGTTTGACAATTTTGTGTTTGCATCATTCAACGCAAGCGTGAAAAAGAACTCTATGCAGCTCATTTAAAAACTCACACACTCAATTATTAATGACAATATTATTTTAAATTACCCATGGACCATCATCAAGTAAATAGTTGCATCATGAGCATTTTATTCTCTCCATTAAATCACATGTACAATGTCAACAACAAAAATATTTAACCCACAACCATTATTTTGGGCTGTAACACTGACACAGACATCCAATGCGAATCTAGTAACATTCATTGAAGCATTTATTTGTCATTGACATTTGCAATTAAATTTTATATCATGATGGCAGCAAAGCAGAGTTCATAGTAACTGTGCAGAGAATATTGGATTTTATTGCAAATACACAATTTATCCAGCAGGTGAAAATTAACTCCACTCACTCATCAAATTTTTATGTTTTATAGATTTTAGAACTCTTTTTAAACCTTAAAAAAAATCCCACTGCAAAACAAACGGTGTAAAAAAAACAAAAAAAAACAGGTACATGCAGGCAGAGGATACAAACACACGTAAGAAACGAGAATGGACCAGGAGTGAGGGAGAACAAAGGGTTTAAATACACATAGAGGAGATTGGGGACCCAGATAGCAAACTGACATTGAATCAACGTGGAAATATGACATCGAAACAACGTTGATCTGACATTGTTTTGCTCATCGAATTAACGTTGAACCAACGTCGGACGCATCTTTCTTTCAAAACTAACGGAAAATCAACTTGAAATCAACGCGTTGTTTCAACGTTATGAAAGCAAACCAATTTTCGATTTTCATTTAGCTTTGAAGAATGCCGCGTCTGACGTTGGTTTCAACGTTAATTCGATGAGCAAAGTCAACGTTGTTTCAATGTCATGAGAGACGTCGTTTCCACGTTGATTCAATGTCAGTTTGCTGTCTGGGGAAACAAGGCAAAGCTGGGGCAATTAACTAAACACAGGTGAATGAAATAAACAGTAACGAGGAGTGGGAAAATCGAAACCGGAATAAATCAAACCACAAAGAACGGGGGAAACACATGACACACATGTAACAACGTGTTTGTAGCACTTGAATAAATGTTTTGCGAGAGATACTTCTTTTCATCTGTGGGTTTATATTTAGTCTCTTCCGAAAGATGAATACAGCACCTCCACCAACCCAAAGGATAAAAATTAACTAAAGAAACTTAAGTACTGAAAGGTAAGAGACATGGTTGTGGAACCAGAGCATAGAAACTTCCATGTCTTGTCTCTCCATTCCTGAGAATATGGCACTGAAAACCAAATCGCGTGTTGAAAAGCTTCCCAACAAGGCCATCACTCTTCAAACTATTGGGCGAAAAAGAGCACATTAGACCACTAGCACAGATGTGCCCAATGTGACATTTATTGTAATCTCTATTAAACACATCATTTCCGAGGTGAATTAAATTATTTTTCAGTTAAAGTTTGTAAAAATAAACTTTTCATAAAGGGTTTACATTTTTTGCAAGATGAGCATTATGATTTTATTTGTATTGGTACTAACCTACAGACAAAGTATTTGACTCCTGGAAACCTCTTCGATTCGTCATACGAGACCATGTTCCCCTGTTCCCCCTCCATCCATTTCCAACCTCTTCCTCCACAGGGATCAACCAGAACCTGCAGATTATTACAGTCATTTCTCAAGAAATAGGAGAGGCGTCATCTCCTAGACTACATTGTCTGTTAACTGTCCCACATGTATTTGTTATCTGTAGTGTTTTAAATGTACAAATAAATGTACTGTACTGAGTTACCTCATAGCTATAGGCCTGATGCGCGTCCCCGTTATATTCATAATTGCAGCGCTGATCCTGCACAAATCCACTGTGCCACCCACTGTCAGGTCCAATGGCTTTGCACACCGCAAGTTGAGTTTTAGAAAGAACAGCATCTGTAAACCACAAGGATTTATGGGTTAATCAAGCCCACTGATTTAAGAAGAGCTTCTAGCTTGAAGATACAAATCTGTTGTCCTAGATTAGCGTATGAGAGTTAAAAGATAATTCCCCCCCCTAAGATTTAGGTACTGATCAGTTCATTGCAATTCCAGTACATGCGATCAGGTATGGAATGGAACTGTAAGAAGAAGCTCAACCATAAATATCTACAAGTGCTTAAAGATGTAATGAATCGTGATACTGTAAATTGGTTTAAAAAGCATGGACAACACACATTAAAATTAAGAATCAGCCTATCTAATGTGAGTGTATGTAAAGTAAGAGTTTTCATACTGCTGGGCACATCTCTGGTCTGAACCCACTGGAGGACCTGACTCCTGCAGCTGCTGGGTTTAAATTGACACACATCACGACATGTGCCGATGGTGCCAGTGCAGACCTCATTGTCCTTACAAACGCTGTTTTGTGTGCAGTTGTTACACTGGTGTGGTATGAAGGATGGACAAGGCGGCTGTGAGCATTTGTACTCGGATGGTTCAGGGTGTGTGGCGGAGCCCCAGCCAGATGAACATGTGGCCTTGCAGACAGTGGCTCCACCTTCAGATCTGCACTCGACTCGTCCGTTAACCTGCTCCTTGTAGCACACAGGTGAGGCCCTCCACTGTCCTCCAGAGCACACCTCGATCTCGGGGAAGGGCTTGTATGATCCACCACATTTCAGTTTCACCTGCTGCTGGGCTGTGCTGTGGTAGAGCTTCTCACAGTGGCTGTTCAGAAGATCCCCGGCCTTTAGAGGGCCACATCCATTTTTATTGAAGAGTCTCCACTGCTGTGAGACATAGTCCTGAAAAAACTTCTCGAGTGAATTACTGTTCTCTGATTTTCCAGTGACTAGTAGATATTTTGACCAAGCTAAAACCGCTTCCTTTTCAAGAGCAAACATGTAGCGCACAAAATAATCAATCTGATCACTGTAGTATTTTGTGCACTCTACTGGCTCACTAGTCTGACTTTGTAAGTCCTGGACCAGTGACTTACGGAAAATATCCAGAATCCCTTCTCCAAATCCAGTGCCCATCATCATGTGGTGAAAGTTTCTGAGATAAAGTTGAAAAGAGTTTCCCCCTGTGAACTGAGCTCCAACTTCAGAAACATATTGGCGTTGGGTAATTGTATAGTTTTTAAGTTGTGTGTGCAGAGTGCTGATGTTTCGAAACTTCTCAGTCACATTACTGTATTTCACAAAGATTTGTGTCCACTGGATGTCACGTCGAACAGACTCAACTATTTCTTTAGTGAAGTCCTTTAGCTCCTTTATACTGAAATAAATTGTTGGCAGATCAGGGACTGGTTTATAGACCATATAATTGATTTTATCTTCAAGATCTGCATAGTCATTACATGATGGACCGCGGAAAATCTTGTGACACTCGCAGAACACTTGTGTGGTTTCCTGGATGGGTGTGCATGCTTCTCCCTGCTTACAATTCATGTCTGAGCCCAAACAGCAGTATTGAAGCAGATAAAGGACAGCGAGGATCGTCTTCACAGTAGCCATGACAGCTTAAAAATGAAAGCATTAAAAGTATAATTAGAAGCATTGAATATGTGGCCTGGTGTCACTTAATTCACAGTCTGCTTATAATGTCACACACTGAGTGTTCTTTACTGTTAAAGTTGCACTACAGAAGATTTATTTTATTGAACCAGTACATTAAAAAATCTGTTCTATGACATAAATCATTATGATCATAACTTGTATAACACATTATGTAGCTAGATACTATCTCAGTTAGTGTAATGTTTGCTTCCCTTGCTGAGTCTGCTTCCACTCAGTGTTTTTTTTTTCTTTACATAAATATCTTTTGATTGACTGTGCTGCATCTTTATCCAAGGAGTAATCCAAGGCAAAAACAGCCTAGACTTACTAAAACAATACCAGACATTGAACTGAGGAAACTGAAGACTATAACACAAAGGTAAAAGAGAAATTAAACAAGACTCAGGTGTCACCGAGTCTTGCGGTATTAAGGCCATTGCACACTGAGTACGAAATTGTCGTTTGCGTATTTTCGTGTTCGTCAGCCTAAAAATTCGTCACGCACAAAAACCTTGCACACCGAGTCCGATGCGTATTTAATAAACCTTTGCAAAAATAGCAAATGGATTCGTCAAGCAGTGAGGATGATTTCGTTGCCCTCTCTCTTATTGGAAAGAGAAGAACGAGAAAATATTGCGTGGGTCCATCCAGTCCTGAAATTGCGCCGAGAGGAAGGAGAGAACCACCTCCTTATCAAGGAGTTGCGAATTTATCCCGAGCGATTAAAAATTTACTTCAGATTGTCAGTGGAACAGTTTGATGCTTTGCTTGCAACTCTGGAGCCACATATTAAAAACAAGACCACCAATTTCCGTGAACGAAACGATTCTGAACAGTGACTGGCAGTATGTCTAAGGGATGGACAGCACACACACACACACACACACACACACGAAGCGCTGGGCAGACAGAACAGCTGTATAGGCTGTTATATATTGTGCCAAAATAATACATTAGTTATCGAATTGGCTGCTCATTCACACCTTATGCAATCCGAAATTTCAATTTGATTGAAAGGGGAGGTTTATTAATTTCATAATCCAATCGAGAGAAGAGGACATAAACACTTGATCGAATTGAAAACCAAAACTGAAAGCAATGCGCATATGTGAAATGATGTGCGGAACGAGCTCCCCCGACCCTGAATTGTCAAAAAACCTCTCAAAATGCTGGCTGTGGATGCGAAAAACACATGCCTCCCAGAAACTGTGATGATTTACTATCTCGTGTACTATTACGTATAACACTATGGTATGTTTTGATTGGTATGTGTGTGGTTGTACAACCAGCTAACGGTCAATATAACCTCACCTGTATCATGCCTCCTACCTAATTAATCCTAATTTAATGACTCACACTTTGATGTACATCACCTTCTCTTAGAATGCAATGTGAATTTGTTAAGTCTGTTTGAGCTTGAATGAACAGTCTAAGCATGCTGGGGATAAAGACCATAACTCAAATAAGAGCCACTTTCCCTCTCAGACATCTTTTTCAGCCTTTATTAGAGGGATACTCCACTTTTTTGGAAATAGGCTCATTTTACAACTCCCTCAGCGTTAAATATTTGGGTTTTATCATTTTCGAATCCATTCAGCCGATCTTCTGATATTTAAAAGAATATCAGTAACCAGACAGTTTCTAGTCTCATTGACTTCCATAGTGGGAAAAAAAATATACGATGGAAGTCAATGAGACCAGAAATTCTCTGGTTACTGATATTCTTCTAAATATCAGAAAATCGGCTGAATGGATTCGAAAACGGTAAAAACTCAACTGTTTAGAGTATCCCTTTAAAGACAGTCCACATGTGACCATCCTCTTGGTAGTTTTTCATCCAGCTGAAAACTCTTGTTTCTGGTGATACTGGGGAACCCCCTTTCCCTTCCATGGGGGCCCAGAGGGCTCCCAGCCGGCCTGGATTCCAACCAGATCCGGCCTCATGGAGGGGAGAAAACACTCTCTCACAAAGTAACAAGGACAATTTCAGGAGTTTGTAACCAGGACTCTAACGAACAATGACTCCTATCACCCAATCTTCTGACTTCCTCACATCTCCTGGGTGCTCGGCGTGGCCTCGACCAAACTAGCCATGTGCTCATGGAGAAAGATAACTTTCAAACAAATTCCACGTGCCACTGCCGGAACCCTCAACGACTTCAATTTTCCACAACTTCAAGAATTGTTCCCACTACAAATGCAAGTATTCAATTCAATGAAAGGTGAAAATGAAATGCTGTTGGTCCTTCTCATCTTCTCCATCGTTAAATCATTCCATCTCTCACTCCTTTTTCCTACACATGTATTTATATATGTTTGTTTAGTTTATTTATGTTCATGATTTAGTTAATAAAACTTGTGGACTTTATGTATTTTGTTCTGATTAACTGATTGCAAACAAAGTCATGTGGACATGGAAGATATCTCTTATAATAAATTAGTAATCAAAAGAGTTTGTTGGACGATAATTGATTGCAATATTAATTTAGCCATGTCAAGTTACTGCAATTAACTGACCCAAATATTCAGAATTAAGCATACGTTATTATTGGTTATTTGTATTTCCTATATCTAAGTTCCTTACACCTGGAAACAAATCATGTTCAAATAGGCTATATCGACCATTCTACAGAATTGGTTAGTTAGAGTTAGAAAGTTAGATTTGGAAAGTTTTTTATACATGCAAATTGTATAATATCCAAGGCAAACATTTCAACTGCAGTTCATTCTCATACTGTATTTTCGGAAAGTTTTGGAATATATCCTCTCCCCAAATGTGTCACTAATAAAAAAACAAAACAATAATAATTTATGTAATGAGAAGGCTTATCGCTTGACCTATTAAGAAATTTTTACATCTACCTTGTAAATATTTTTTTTTTGCTATTTTATTAAAAAGTGTTCAACACTTTCCTAACCCAACAACAATTACAATTTGAACAATACTTCAAATGTAATATTTCTTTTCTTAAAATATAGCCTACATTTTATCATACATAAGATGACCTAGTCAATTAATCTGATTAAATCTTGTGTGTTTTATCAAGCTTGTGTGGGTGTTCACAAGTTTGCATACATTGCCTCAGATAATTTGCGTTTGAAGAATGCACGCTCTTTGTGGGTCACATTAACAGATAACAATGACTGACATCTCTCTTTTTTATATAGATTACATAAATGGAGAAAAATTTAGTTTTGAATTAGATCATTTAAAATACACACTTAAAGGTCTATAAAGATATATTGCTCATGACTGTGTGAATAGTATTCGCTAAGTTTTGTTTAAGTTTAGAGAGGTGCTCCAGAAAAAAAGTTCCCGGAGACAGAGAGGCAGAAAGCACACCCTGTTTATTTTCTTTATTTTAGAAAAGCACATCTTTTATTTCGATTGTAAGCGGACACATAAAAAAGGAGACATTTTTTATTTTTTCATTTGCATGACCAAAAATTAGTATTTTAAGTCTTTTTTGCTGCTATGTGAAAAAAAATCACCCGAAATGTGCCGGCGCGTTTGCCGACCCCAGTGGGTTAATGCACAACAGTTTAGGCACGTCAAAATTCGAGCATGTATCTAGTATCAATCATCCTTTGAAATAACCATATGATTTTTTTCCCCCCATATTTCAACATCTATATGATTTTGAAAAACTATTCCATTTGAATCGAATGATTTAATCCAAGTGATTGCATTATATTCACAGATCTAATTTAGACCATTATTCATGGAGTATCGGAGTATTCAATAGCTATGAGGTAACTCAGTACAGTACATTCATTATGATACAAATTCAGAGCCTGCAATAAAAAAACAACAATCTACATTAAAAAGGCCAACTTCCTTTTGAGCGCAGCTAATGACTGTAATTTTGAAAGTTGTCCGGACTCTTTCTTTTTCACTGTTTTTTCACAGTTCAAAATATCTTAAATAATTAACGTAAATAAAAAACACGGGATTATAAATCACAGTTTCTCTAAAATCCCCTTGGAAACTAGGGCTATAACCTTATTTATTTAAGGTTGTATGGGTCAAACACAATGCCAGTAACTATGTAGATTTATTTATTACATTTTTTTTGTGTTGGGGCCAGTGAAAATTTTGGCAGTGCATGTAAAAATGTAAACTTCTGGCTCAAACGGGCCAGTAAAATGTATTAAGTCTTGCAAATACTTAGATTTCAATAAAATGAAATACACTAAAATTTCACAGGATCAGATGTAATACCATTGACTACCAGATTGCTGCAACACACGTTACTGAAAACCTTAGAGTTAAAAAATTAAATGAATGAATGATGTTGAGATACAAGAGAAAAACAATAACTCACCAGAAAACACGATCATACAGGTAAATAACCAGACACTAGACTAGAACCAACAGTGGGCTATTTATGCTGAAGCTAATGAATCACATGACAATAAAAAAGGAAGACAAGGTTCATTAAAACATGAATGGACACAATGACCTCTATTGGTCATAAAGAATTCATGCCAATTATACAAATTCAATATCTTGTTTTGTTGTAATTTTCCATTAGAAACTTACTTGTACGTCCTTTAATGTTTTTTTTTTTTTGATGATATGCCTCAGTCTGCTGATTTCTGGGACAAGATTGGTAGAGACAGAACATTTAATAAAGCTTTAAAATTTGCTCCAACTGGCCTTTCCTAACAATGATTGTGAACAAGCCTTAGCTCTTACAAATACCGAATGAACGTCTCTACACCAGACGCTATTGGGGTGACGTGACAAAAGCAAATCTAACACATTATAATGAATAATGCTACTTTATCTAATGGACGTGGCGTGACACGATAAATCCCTGATAGAAAACTTATGTCCTGTTCTATTTTGGATGTAGCCTACTTCAGTGATGTTGACACAAAGGAGAAATGGGTTTGCAACATTTCCTTTTGTCCGTATTCAGTGTTGTGGCGTGAAAGGAAAATATGATGAGGCATATCCCGCTCTCAGATTCACCAGTACAACGCTGGGTAATGAAGAGAGACCACAATGCTTTCATGCCTCAATATATTAGCTTCTGACAATATGAAGCCCAAAAAGTTAAGAGGCCAAGTAGTTATGTAGTACTTTATTAATTACAATATTTCAAATAAATACTATAGAAATTGCAGCTTTATGCATGGCCTCAAGTATATATTTTAAGTTATTAAATTAATATAAAGGTGTGATTAGTGGCTTAACTAAGTTTCAACTAGAGAAACATTTAGTCTGGGACTAACGAATGTTCCCTTCGTTGATATGCTCAAAAATATCCTGCAGTCATGAAGATGTATGAGACTCTATACAGACACAAAACACTCAGCCTAGAGCCAAGAGATGTGCATGTGCTGAGGGAACACAACGATGCGGAACAGGCATTATCCAGATGCATGACGTCTGCACTTCTATGAAGATGAATTAATCATCGTAGGGGTTGATCGTCTTGGTTCTAACAGAAATAAACAAGTTCTGTGCCATCTACTAAACTGTTGGCAATGTAGACTTAAAATATAGGTTTTAGATAAAGCATATTCACAAGCGAATTATTTCTTTAAGCAACATATGGACGTTATTATTACTATTCTAAAACTTTTATTAACATGGTTGGTGTATTTAGCATGTCCTTTAACTCCTTAACATTTTCCTATGAATATAAATATTTACGGATATTCATTTATTACAGTACAATTAGTTTTTGAATCACTACAATTACAATGCATATTGCACTGCTCTGGCAGTGGCGACATTTGGAAAGTAGTCATTTTTTGTTTTGTTGTTAAAAAAAAGCCATTAAAGGGGTCTGAAAAGTCGCTAAATCTACCAACAATGTCATGGCAACACTGGCTGTGCTTATTCCATTCATTTATGTATCATATCGTACAAGGTTTAAATTATTTAAATACACATATCAAAACAGTAGAACATGAGTATAATGTAGTATTTAAATTGATTAACTCCTGATCAGCTCTGATTTCTGAGACACACAGAGAGGCAACAGTAACACGGATATTTGATTTGCTAATTCGCTAATTTGGTAATTCACTTCACACATGATTGTGTAGTGATTTTATAAGTTTGCATACAATATCGTGCTTTCCGCTGGCTCACCTCTTATACAGCAAACACAAGGAGTGACTGTAGCCACTGGGGTGGTGATGGCACAGTGGATGAGACACATGCCTTTGGTGTGAGAGACCCAAGTTCGAATCCACTGTGAGACACCAATGTGTCCCTGAGCAAGACACTTAACCTCTTGCTCCAGAGGTGTGCGACCTCTGACATATATAGCAATTGTAAGTCGCTTTGGATAAAAGCGTCAGCTAAATGAATAAATGTAAATGTAGCCGCATTTGCATTACAAACTTTTGCAATATGTTCTAAAGGTCGCAAATTCTAAATGCGGCATTTCCATTAACTGATATTATGCTGCTAAACTTTAATTTTTTACTCTCGAGTCATTCCAAACATCATGGCATTGTATATCAGTCACCACACTAGCCATTATTTTAAATGGAAGGAGACGTACTTGAAAGCACACGAGGTGTTTCTCCCTCGTATCTGCTTTAAGGTCTTAATAAATTGTGGTCTTTCTTTGTTGTTCAGAATCCAGTATTCCTCTAATACTTAAGTCTTTTATGAGTTTAATGAAGAACTCTGTCTCATTTTCTGTCCAAACATACAGCGTTACATTTAAAGAATGATCGACTTTTACATACTCTAGTTTTGCTAAATATTCCTGCTTTGAAATGCTTGAAAAACAATTTTTTTGCAATTATATGGGAGTTTTTGCAAAACTGACATGTTTAGATTGGGAGTAGGGGTGTGCAAAGCAGACGTATTTGTATCTGCTGGGGGGGGGGGGGTATTTGAGTAAGGCCACGCCCCCTTGTGGGGTTCTGACATTGAGGGGGAAGTATTTGAGTAAGGCCACGCCCTCTTGTCGGGTTCTGATGTGTAATGACGTAGGGCTAACTCATTGGTCGCACGTCAGAGGCCCCCGTGCCATTGGATGTGCAGTTCCTGCAGCACAGCCTATGAGTGAGCCAGATCCTCAATGTACTAGCTGTGCAGCTGCAAATGCGTTTTACATACAAGCTTCCTTTTCCTCGATTTACTGAAAAGGATGTAAAACGCATTTGCACCTGCACAGCACATTGAGGGTCTGGCTCACTCATAGGCTGTGCTGCGGCAAGTGCACATCCAATGGCATGCGAACATGGAATAATCTCCCGAAACTCAGCTTCCCGAAAGTTATAAACTGCCTCCGGAACCCATTTAAAGGAGAACTCCGGCGCAAAATGAACCTATGGTCTAAACATCGGTACCTGGTCAACCGTTCTCTGAGACTTGTTTTCATGATAATCGAATGTAAAGAGTTTTATCTCTAAAAACTAAGATAATTGTAGTCCCCCTGTTGGCCCAGTGCTCTGGGCAAGTGCCCACTAGGCCCGTGCGCTAATCCGTGCCTGGTCGTAAAGTAAACCAACTCCAGTTTTTCAGAAATATAAATGTATTGAGAAAGAGAGAGTGCTAAAGCTACTCGGGTCCTTTTATCTTTAAATCTTTAAGTAAATCTTTAAAAAAAAATTAAAAAGATTTAAGTAAAAACAAAAATGCCAACAGTCGCTTTTGTCATGTTTTGCGATCTTGCTAGTTTACAGTGATTTATTTTTAATTAGATGTCGGATAAAACTTGCATTTGTAGGTGAAATGATGGGTTTGTGCGACGTTGTTCCAAAGAGGCGTGTTACAGGAGGGTTTTAGTGGCTTGACGGTGGTAATGCTGTATGGTTTCTGTGCTAGAGGCCAGAGGCAATTAGCCCGGCACAAAGCCCTGGCGCGAGTGATTTCATTGGTAAGTCAATGCAAAGAGGCGTTACGCGCGTTCAATATTCCTGCCGCGCGAATGAGGCATAGAGCTCGGTGCGCGAATTGAGCGTCTGGCCCGTTAAGCGCTAATGATTTAGTTAGTGCTTTTTGTGCATTCACGCGTTTGACGCGAATTCGCGCCTGCCACCCGAGTTGAAAAATCTGAATCTGACACAAATATGGCGATGATGATGCCCACGCCGCTGTTCTGCTCTCCAGAGCAAATACAAAGCGATGACTCCCTCGATGAATGCTCGATCAACATAAAAAAGATGGCCGCCAACATGTTTCGAATCTGACGCGCGTAAATTTAGTTTCAAACTTTTGTTTTTAAAGGTTTTGTTTTGCTGTTGACGCGCGAATGGAATCAAAGTGTTCAAGCGTATAATTAGACGTGGTAGGCGCGAATTTGACACACTATTCGCATCTGGTGTGAACGCACAGTTAAAGTCTGATTTATAGAACGTTGTAAATGTTTTAACGGATAAGATATGGGTACCTTCATTTGTTTATTATGTTGTGTTATGTATTTGTACTATTTGTTTGTGCTGCCTATCTTGACCAGGACTCCCTGGTATAAGAGATATTTTATCTCAATGGAACTTCCTGGTAAAATAAATGAAATAAAATATAATAAAAAGTACACTTGATCCAGTGCCAAGAGTAAAATCATCAATTTCAGAGTAAGTCAGAATAAATTCAAACCTAACAATTTATAATTAGGGTAAAAAAATCATGACAATTACATAATCAATTCAAAGATGATCAATACAAAACATCAAATGCTCGGAAATTAAGAGTAAAAGACATTTAACACTGCCATTTCTTTCTAGAATGAGTTTGCAAATTACTTTTTAGATATCTTTAGTGCATTTCACATCAAATAAAAGTCCTCTTTTCAGTGTGTGTTCTCATGTGGGTATAACGGGTTCCTTTATGTGTGAAGCTCTTTCCACACTGAGGACAGGTGTAAGGTTTCTCTCCAGTGTGAAGTCTCATGTGACTCTTCAGACTTTCTTTTCGTGGGAAGCTCTTCCCACACTGAGGACAGGCGTATGGTTTCTCTCCGGTGTGAACTCTCATGTGATTATTGAGGTTTCCTGTGTTTGTGCAAGTTATTCCACAGTGATGGCACATAAAAGGCTTCTGTCCGATATGAGTTTTTACATGGCGTTTAAGATGTTTCTGGTCTTTAAACCTCGTCCCACACTGATGACATGCAAAACAGTTCGCTCTTAAGTGAAGCTTCATGTGCTTAGTAAGGGTTTCTTTCCGTGCGAAACATTTTCCGCACTGACCACACGAGAAAGGCTTCTCTCCAGTGTGAACTCTCATGTGAGCCTTAAGATTACCTTTTCGATTCAAGGTTTTTCCACACAGTTTGCAGATGTACGCACTCTCTCCAGTGTGAACGATCATGTGAGCATAAAGCGTTCCTTTATGTGTGAAACTCTTTCCACACTGATTACATGTGAACGGCTTTTCTCCAGTGTGAATCCTCATGTGGACTTTAAAGTTTCCATGTTGATAAAAACTCTTTCCACACTGTTGGCAGGCGAAAGGCTTCTCTCCAGTGTGAATTCTCATGTGGACTTTAAGGTTTCCTTTTTTTTTGAAAGACTTTCCACACTGTACGCAGATGAACTGACTTGTAGTTCCTGTGTCTTGAGCACTTTTTTCGGAGGAAGTCTTTTCAGTCTCTGAGCATGTTTCTTCAGTTAGGAAATCATGGTATTTCTCATTCAGATCTTGACCCTCCTCTTTCAGTGCTATCAGGTCTAAGGCAAATAGAGACAAATATATGTTAACCAAGCAACAGACATCAAACCATTTAGCCATTTAAAGCATAAAACCCAACAATACATGTAGCTGTAAGCATGGATAAATATAGGAGGACTGTTTAATAGTGTTATGTGCTACACTTTCTTCAGCCAGCTTGTGGCGTTATGACCCTGAATCACAGAAGATGTGATCTTTATCAGACAAAGCACTTAGAAGATCCAAGTCTCTTCCCATTTTAGTTTTATGACATTAATTTAAACCCTTACAATGGCCACACTGTTCGAGATATTGAAGATGCTAAATGTCTTGGCTATTGGTGTGTCTCAATTAGCACTGAAGGGGTGGATCCTGGAATTCGATACTGCTTCAATGTATATCTAATGAGTGATTATAAGCAGGCCATTAATTAATATTTTTGCTTCTAAATATCAAATGAGTTGAACGACTTCTCTAGGCTTGTGAGATTTTACTTAATTGATTTTACCTGAGTGCTAACTGAAATGTTTTTTTCATGTATTCTCTAATTTCTGTATTTGATATCTGAATGCAGTAACAGCACTTGCTCATTTAGCCCGGCTTCGAATAATGAACATGGAGAGATGTTTTGTTTGAGAAAGGTCCTCAACATTTAGAAACATTCTAGCTCACCCTGACGACTATAGGTCACAGCAGTCATTGGAACCAGTAGTTTAAGTGATCATTTCTTAGTTAAAGACTTCACTGTGTTAGATTAAAGTGTAGCTTTCCTTGAAAGAAAGAACGTATTTTATTGATGTTTTGAGAAATTTTTCCTGTTTATAGTTCGAGCTTGGCCAAATCCAACCTTGAAGAAGCTGTGTGTCGGTGTTTGTGTTAGTCTTTGCGCCCAGCAACCTAAATTTGTGTGTGTCTATCTGCATAGAGAGCCTAAGTCCCTCCCCTCCCGGCTCATTTCGGAAAAATATCCAGGAAATTATTCGGATATGAAAAAAATAGTCACACTTAGCTTCCGGTCAAAATTGACTGACCATAGGAAACGAATGGTAAATACAAGAAAATAGGAAAACTCAGAGAAACTTTTGGTGGTACAAACTACAGATCAGCCACTGTGCAGAAAAAGTGTACAGCAATGAAGGGGTGACACTCTAAAACATCAAGAGCGCAAATAAAACTGACAAGACTGCAACAGCAATTTTTCAGAAAATGCAAAATAAAATAAATCAATGAAAAAAAAAAACAATCGCTCAAATGCACACACACACACACACACACACGCACACACACACACACACACACACAGAGAGAAATAAAATAAATGAACTGGTAAGAATGCAACAGCAAATTTTTAGAATATGCTAAATAAAATCAATAAATGAAACAAACACATTTGTTGAAATAAAAGCAATAAATCATGAATAAATTAAAATCCAAATGATATTCTTATCCTCTCACTTACAGACAGACATATAAGCCGCTTTCCGACCGGAGGGACTTTTGCAGTTCCTAGAACCTAACGTTCCTATTTTACCCTTTTTTTCTAGTGTTCCGTCCGGGGATTTTTTTCTTGAGAATCTGGGGAAAGCAGAGGTATATAACCCCCTTTATGCAAAGGCGACAGAGCATTCCTCGCACACCAGCCTCTGTGAGTTTCCTGAAAAAGGTCCAGGCACAGATGAGGAAGCTGGTGTGTGCACACAACCTCCCCAAAAGAGGAAAAGGTGCCAATTGTGCAGGCCGGAGGATGTGAAAACCAGAAATATCTGCACCCTATTTTGATGTGAAATAATAATATCATAAAAATCTTTAAAAATTCTAAATAATAATAATAATAAAAATATTATTGAACGAAAATACAATTGATTGGTTTTCCTGGGGGAAAAAGTTACATTTTAAGGCTTCTGTCTTTTTTGACCAGGAGGAAGCTAAGTGTAACCTAAGTGTTGCTGGTGTTTATTGTTTGAATAAAACAAATATTAAAATGAAAGTTTTTATAGAGTAACTGTTTAATAAAAGCAATAAGCCCCTTTGAAGCCGTGTTTTACAGTGAATTTAGAAGGCTTTCAGGTACTTTGATTCGTGTCGTAGCCAACAACGCCCCTTTAGCTGTTTTAAATTCACTGTAAATCAGGACTTCGCGGGGCTTATTGCTTTATTATACACAATATGAACAATCATCTTATGAACATTATGTATTAAAAAAAAAAAGCCTGCAGAGGGCGCCAACGCTCTCGTGTTTTACAGCAGATCAAATCCTTGTTTAATATTGGCCAAACAACATTTAATTCAAATGTTTGTATTGTTTAAATTAAATTTAAAAAATGCGTCCAAGAACATGTGGACTCAGCACAAGGGATTCAACTTTTTATTTGAAATCATAACAGTTTAACAGCATATTTAGTAACATATTGATATATTCTTCTGTGTTGGTATAGGATTATCAATGATGTATCTTACAAAATTAAACTCACTGGGCATATGTTAATTATCTGATTAACACCCTTGCGAATTCACAATAGCACTATTCGATTTTCATTGGTTTTTCAACAAAACTCTCATGAAAACACTTTATGACAGCCACTGTGTAAATTTTTACATTCCAAAAACGAGATGGAGTAAAAACAATTTTAGAATTAGCCTAGCTGTTAATGTAAAAATTGCTATTTACATGCACCCATACAATTTTGTAGATTATATACAAAAATATATAGCAATTGAATTAAACATTTTTTACTTGCATTAGTGTTGGTCTGGTCATATGATCTCATGTCCGACCACTACATGTGAAATAAATCCTCTTTATTTAGAACACTCATATGATATTCTTCAAAAATATCTTTAATTCTATACAGCTGCGCATTTTAATAAAGATCAAATAAACCAACCCGTTTGTGTCTCAGTTTCTTCTTGTTTCACACTGAATGTTTCTTCAATCTTCACGTCTTCAGTCTCCTCTTTAATAAACGACATCTTAACAACAGTGTGTCACGTGAATCTCAGTCGCTTCCTATGTGTTTGTCCTGTTTAAGATAATTAACAGAAAGAAAAATAAGCCCACACTAAATCTGTGTGTGTGTCTCAATCAGATCAGTAGTTCAGTTCACTGGTGAGAGCGTCAGTCAGAATAAGAGTTAATGGACTTAAATCACTCGATTAGACTAAAAACACAGGTGGTTTGCCAAAGTTGTCATTTGTCATGTTTTGTTTTTATTGGATTTACACTGTTATATCCAGCAGATGACGTCAGAGTGTGTCATCAGTTAAATTCAATCAAATATTAAATACATCCGTTTCTCTCATCACTATTTACAACTGAACAAATTCGTGTTTACCATTAAATTTACGATATTAGGAGTAAAATAAGAAATTATTTTAATAAATTATTAAATAATTTTACTCAAGTGTAAAGCATTACAATGTTACATTCAGTAATAAATATTTGCCTTTTGATCGCTTGGAAAAACTACAAAATACACTGAATGGTTTGCATCTAAATAAACGGTTTAAAACATTAACCTTTCTTCAGCCAAATCACAACAGTTGCAGGAGCGCGGCGCAGGCATATGACGTCACTTCGCCGAACCATAATAAAAGTCCTGTTCACATGCTAAAATGTGCATGAAAATTACATTAAAAAAAGAAAGGAAAAACACATTTAAATAATAATACACGAAGCAAAAATAATAGGATCCTCTCACCATCAGTGCTCTGGTTCTAATAAAACTTACCAGAAGTATTTAGAGTAATAAAGACTTAAATACATAATTGTGTTCTGAAAATAACTGCTTATGAAAGTTTGTAACACATCTAATATTTGAGATTCTGTCTAAGTCATGAGGTTGGCAATTTATTTTTTAATTATTATTATCAATGGGTTTTTTTTTCACAAGCTATTTAGTCATTTTTGTTTGATACATTTTCTAGTGCCATAGCAAAAACTATTACTGTCAATGTTTGTCTATAAATTAAACAATTATTAGGGTCACATATTATTCAAAAACAAATGAATGAATCCTAAATGTATATAATTGCAATTGTCTTTCCACATTAGCAGGCACAATACAGGTAGCTGTGTAACATCTGAAAATCTGCTTTCACATTGCTTGTAGGGGTAAAGATAAATATCTGACCATTTTGAGCCCTAAACAAACTCTGCCTAATGTCAACATCGCACAAAAATCAGAGACGGGGTTTTTAAATGACAAATGGAGGTTAATATACAACAGAGACTGACAAATAGAAAGCTATTGGTGTTTCAGTGGGACAGCATCAAAGACTCTGACAAAACCTTCAACATTAACAATATTACATAAGATCAGTTAATGTAAGGTTTGTTTCATTTTAATGAAATGTAATATTTTGTTAATGTATAGTTGTCCACAAGACTCCACATCTATGGAACACTTAATAATGTATATTTGTAACATTTGTTGCTCAAGACTGGAATTTTGTTTCTGTAAAAGTAAGTAAAAAAAAGTATTTTTTGTGTCTATCCCTTTAAACGTGTACTTCAGTGTGCAATCTTGAAAAATCTTGTCAAATTGTAAATATGATCTAAAACATAAAGACAGTCAGAAATACAACATTTCAACATTTAAAAATACAAGTCAAGTCACCTTGATTTATATAGCGTTATACAATACATATTATTTCAAAGCAGCTTTAAAGTGATAGCAGGAAAATTATTTATATTAGGCTTCAGTGTTGATTCAGTTGTTAAGATCATCAAATATTAAATTAGTTCATTTCATCGATAAAGCAGCTCTGTAGAAAACAGCGATGTCATTGTCCAGCTTGGATAGTTAAAACAATATTAAAATAGGATATTAACATTTTTCAACAACCTTCTGAACTTAAGTTGAAGATGAGTTGATTGTGTGTGTATGATACTGTGAAAAAGGGGAAACAATATCTGATGGAAATACAGTATTTATTTATTTATTTTTATCATTTGCTATATTGTATTTTTGGGACTATAACCTTTTTTTATATATATAATCTAAAACACGCCACGATTTATACTCCAAAGTTATTTATATAATGCATTTAATAAGTAAGCAAAAAGCAAACACTACAAAAGTGTTTTTAAAAGACGTATTTCAAACACATCACCGGCTACAGACAGAAACACTGTAAGATTGAACAGTTCTGAGAAGAATCCACTTCAACAACATGCACACACCAGGTAAGACTGATTATCTAAAATGGCTCTGTCAAAAATTATTGCTAGCTATCTAGAGTTCAATAATAATTTTCATACATTTGATTCATATCAAACAAAACTAGGGGAAAAAATGGTTTGATATAGAAAAGTAAGCAAGAAAATAAGTAAAGAAATGGTGTATGCACTAAATCGTTAGTGTTTTGCCTTTTAGACAGAATCTCACGTATTAGATGTGGTTCAAACCCTTTTTTGGTAGTCATTTTCAGCACATAACTAAACATGTATTTTCTATTTCACATAAAATTTAACTCGATGCTGCTGACATGTGTTTTATTATTCATATGAATATGCACATGCGTATGTCTTTACACAATTATTTTAGAACAGGACTTTTATTTTGGAGTTGTGATTTGACGTCATAAGGGTGCGACGTACTCTTGCTTCTGTTGTGATTCGGCTGAAGAAGATTAGTGTTTGTAAAGTGTTTAATTCAAAGCTATCCATTCAGGTAATTGTATAGTTTTAACAGGAATTGTAAAGGTAATGCGTTATTATTCAATGTGACGTTGTGATGCATTATCTAACATCAGTGCATGTTAATTTGTTTGAGTAAAGCTCATCCACACAATCATTAACAGAAAATCGTCTCAAAATCGAGCTTTTTGAAACTCCGAGTCAATTGAATCAAATACTTTTCAAAATGATTCACTGATTCAAAGCGCTCGATTCAGCGAACGTGCAAATAGGATAAATGCAACGGAGAACAACAGTAAACACTAACATTTTTTTTCTTTTTAAAATGTTTGCATATCATTAAATACCAATTTTTAAAACCAAATATTAATCTAATTATGAGATGTTGTATATTTTGTTCTTTTATTCATTTGGTGCTAGTTTTGAGTCTTTTTATAACTTTTAGTCTAATCAAGTGATTTAAGTCCATTAACTCTCACTCTGACTGACTCCAGAACTGAACTACTGAACACACATGCTGATTGAGACACGCACAGAGATTTAGTTTAGAGTGTTTTTCTTTCATCTAATTATTCTCATCCTAAACATACTTTTATAAAGATGGCGTTTATTAAAGTGGAGAGTGAAGACATGAGGACTGAAGAAACAATTCTAGTAAAACATGAAGAAACTGAGGAACAAACAAAGATGGCGTTTATTAAAGAGGAGACTGAAGACATGAAGATTGAAGAAACATTCAAAGTTCAAAGAGTGAAAAAAGAAGATCCCGAGGAACAAACAGGTCAGTGTCATTCTATCATATGCACGCAACAACTATTTTGGTGTATAAATGACACGACAAATTAAATTTGTCGAATAGATTCCTGTTTTCATGAGATCGGGCTGGTTAGACAGACAGATAGAGAGATGCACATTACCTTTCATTCACATATAAATAAGTCCTATTGATTAGCGAAACAAACCTCAACTAATGGTGACTACTGTTCTTTGGTGATACCAAACTTGGAGAGGTGATCGCTGTTCCTGCAATTCTTCACTCACATGGTGTTTTTCTCTCAGTCTTTCTTTTCGTGACCGGGATAGTCCCGCTTAATTATTTTGTCGATGTAGTAACTTTGATTGACGCGCTTTGACACGAGTGGGAGGCGGGGCCCTACGCAACTTGCGTATAGGGAGGATTGGCTCTGCCCTCATGTCGTTCCAAACCCGCAAGTCCTTTGTTCATCTCAACAAAAATAAAGATATTTTAAAGAAATCCGAGAGCTTTCGGTGTGACTTGATCCTGCAACATGTAAAAGGGCATAGAAGGCTGTTCTACAAACATTAGAAATGTACAGTTACATCCATCCATTGGGATCTAGATATTTGGAGATTTTTTGCCAGAATTAGAACAAATTACTAGACATCCCATATTTGCTATCCTTAAAACAGTCTGGAATGTTGTGTTAAAACTGTTAATGTTGTGTATTAAAACTGAGTATTATTGACATAACAGTGAAATATAATGACATTTGTCTCTTTCGGGAAGCCTATGAGGAGAAAAGCAGAGAACCTAATACTGAGCCCTGTTGCACACCACACTTTCCTTGTGTTTGATAAGAAGACTCTTCATTTACTCTAGTAGCAGTCAGCTAGATGTGATGGATGTCCACAAAAGTCAACATAATTGTTCATGTATCCAAGAGAATGTCATAGATCTAATGACTAGATGCCGAAAGCAGTTTGTTTATTTCTTTAAAATACATAAACAATGCGGCTTACATCCTGACTGATATTGTTCTCAAATACAGTTTCTCTGCAAAACTGAACATAGTTGAGATGCCAATGTTTTTTTTAAATAATATTTTAGCCTTAAATTCCAGGTTTTACTTATTGGTCAAACTGTGGGTTTTAGATAGTGGTTTTGATAACTGGGATGTGTCCCTAAAAGTAAAGAGTAAACAATATTGTGAAGAGGTTACAGGTTACAACTCTAAGTTGCTTTGTGGCTACAGGATTCTGCATACATGCCTACATGTTTGGTGTGTCTGTTGTTTGGTGCCATTGTTAACTGGTCCATTTTCACCTTAGACCTGACAGCGCTGAAAGAGGAGAGTGGAGTACTGAATGAAACGGAGGAGAAGGACCAGTATAATTTCACAACTGGAGAAAACTTGTTTAGTTGTTCAAAGGCTAAAATGACTTCCTCACAAAAAAGAGCTAAAAAAACCCAAACTAACTTCACCTGCCAGCTGTGTGGAAGGAGTTTCAAGAAAAAAGGAAACCTGAAAACCCACATGAGAGTTCATAAGGGAGAGAAGCCTTACACCTGCCCTCAGTGTGGAAAAGGTTTTACTCAAACGGGAAGCTTTAACAGGCACATTAGACTTCACAATGGAGAAAAGCCCTTCCCCTGCAAACTCTGTGGGAAGAGTTTCACGACAGATCTAAACCTAAGGTATCACTTGAACAGTCACACTGGAGAGAAGCCTTTCACATGTGATCAGTGTGGAAAGAGTTTGGGACACAAGGTAACCCTTAAACTGCACATGAGGCTTCACTCAAAAAAGACCTGTTTTAAGTGTCATCAGTGTGGGGTGAGATATAAAGACAGTAAACACCTTGAGAATCATGTAATAAGTCACACTGGAGAGAAGCCTTTCATGTGCTATCAGTGTGGGAAGGGTTTTACACTGAAAGGAAACCTGCAGACTCACTTGAGGATTCACACTGGAGAGAAGCCTTTCACTTGTCCTCAGTGTGGGAAGAGCTTCACACTCAATGGAAACCTTCAGACTCACATGAGAATTCACACCGGAGAGAGGCCTTTCACGTGCCATCAGTGTGAAGGGAGTTTCACGTATAAAAGAGACCTGAAGCGTCATTGGAAAAAATGTTGTGGAAACACATCGCAGTGTTCCTCAGCGTAGCAAGATGCTTAGAAAAATTAGTGATTTCAAAGTCATTTGCACGCACAAAGGCAGGGGGCAATTTAATTGGGATTATTGTAATACATTTTTTTTTTCACACTTTATATTAGTATTCAATTTTCACTATTCTCATTAAGGCATTAATATGTGCTTTATAAGTACTAATAAACTGAAAATATCCTAGTTATTGACAGACAATATTCTAGTAAAATGCATGCTAATAAGCAACTAGTTAATGGTGTGAATTGGACCCTAAACTAAAGTGGTACAAAAAATTATTTTGTTATAATCCCAGGGACACACCAAACCGACTTCACGGCAGGGCCGGAGTGGGGCCAATTTTCAGCCCAGGAGTTTCAGGCCCACTTTGTCCATGGTGGAGGAAATTTAATAAATGAAGCAACAGTTCAGCTCTTACTATTGTGTAGTTTTTATTAATACCATGGTTCAACATTAATGTAAAGGTTAAATAATAATTCACCTAAGCTGAGAAGTTAACAAAAAATATCATGGACAGTCATTTTTCTGCATGGGTATCAAATTGTGGTAATTTACTCCTTTACTACACCCACTTCTGAACAAACAATACATTTTGGTTTATCATGTACCATCATACTGCTCTTTCTTTTGTTATCCTGTAAATCAGAATATACCGTCAATAGCCTTAAAGTCCCCGTGAAATCAAAATTGAACCTATTTACTTTGTTAGCGCATATTACTAGTCTTGTGGTGAACAATTAATCCGTGCAAGTGAATATATATTAAAAAAATGTTTTACCTTGGTAATCTTTAATCAAAATCTGAAAAGTTACTTCCGGTCTGGAACAGTTTCTTTTTCTGATGACGTAGGTTTCACAGTTTGGGTGGGGAAACGCTTAACCACTCCCCTCAAACCGTTAGTTTGCTATGAGCGAGAGATGGAGAGGAGGAGCGCTAGAGTAAAACCCTGCCCTCTGTTCAATATTCCGTTTCACTTGGAAATACGTCACAGCACTGGAGAAAAATCGTTTGCAACTTCCGGTTCACGGGGACTTTAAAAAAATATTTTCACCATTTTGTTTTTTGGAATAAAATGTTATATAAATCAGGCTACGAATAATATATTTACAAATCCCTCAGCAAATGCCTTCATAATATAACTAGGTACAAGACTGGAAAGTTTGGTGTATATAGGTGATACTGAAGTGGAGATTTCAGGCTTGGAGTATGAGAGAAAGGTCATTTTGAGAAAATTGCGCATTTAGAGTTAAATCCCCCTTTTTACTTTCACGATTGGTTGCTGATAAAAAGGAAATGACCATATTTGGATCCGACAGCATTACAGGTGAGAGAGAGCTTTCTAACGGTGTGTGTGATGACAGGGTGCCGATTGCGATCGACGAGCAGCGAGATGATTTAGATTGACAAATTTTTATGAATTTATGAGAAATCTACACACAGAAAAAAGTGTAGTGGAAAAAAACAATGTTTTTGCCTACCGTGTCTCGCCTTAATTACATTTAATATTTTGCTTGTGAATAGATTGACAACGCTACAACGGTATTTGCCAAAAAATTACGTTGCAGCATTGCTAATGCTAATCATTACTAGGCCCATCTCTCTTTACCTGTGGAAAATAAATCTGTAAGCTTGGCACATTTGGCTAGCCTAGAAATCTAGACGCACCCTAGCGGCAGCAAAAATTATTTTGCAGCAAAGTGTGGTCTAGCAACTCTCCATAGACGTTTGAGCTGGAAAACCCCAACTCTGGTAGGGCCAATCACATCGTGTATAGAGTCGGAGGGTGGGCTTAACATAATGATGACAGAGTTGCGACGGTCTGAGCAAGCTCGGACATATTCGGTTTGAAGTCGTTCATCCTCGGATGCGGCCGGCGCCGTGCGCGCTGTTACAAAAAAAGCTGTGGCGAAATGATCAACTTGTCATATTTGCCGCCCGCGCTCGTGCTGTCACGTCGAGTATAAAGGCTTTACTCCGTGTCAGCGCGCGCTCTGATCGGGACCTCTCCCGAATCATCTCCAGCAAGCACCACTACTCCGCCTCCGTTTCCCTCGTAAGCTGGTATTATAATATTTAAACATTCTCTATATTATTTTTTTAATGACACACTGTCTCTTTCTCTCTCATACACACACAAACACACACATACGGTCTCTTTCTCTCTCACACATATGTTGGCTAGTTATAAACTCTTTAGACTTTTAATGATTAGTGTTTTATTTTTAAAGTTTGTGGGTCGTGTTAAAAACAAAAAAAAAATCCCTTATTTTGGGGATGGATTCCGGGAAATCTCCCTTATTTTCAATGTTCAATGTTGACAGCTGGACTGGATACGGTAAAAGTTTTATATATCAACTTGCTCCGCTGAGTACGTCACCGTCTTTGTTGCTCTGATTGGCTTTAGCGCTATCCAATTACGTGCAGAGAGAATTTGAAAGACAACCGTTTATCCCGCCCCTCGGATTGAGCCCTGTCAATGAAGAGTTTCCAGACCTAACATCTTGATGTAGGGCTGGCATGCCAGGCTAACATTTGGCAGCATCCTCCTTCAATGCCTTTCTTTTTTTTCAACCTGGCTTTTTCAGCCCCTCCTGACCTCTTCCTCCCTCCTCCCTGACGCGTGCAGCAGGGCCTGTGTTGTGCCGAGTTTTGACCCCCCGCCAAATTATTGTTTAGGATTAGTTGTGGGGGAGGGGTTGGGATTAGACAAGCAGGTACTGACAGGGTCACTTTGAAATTAAAGGCAGGTGTGTTTAATTAGGGTTGGAGATGAAATGTGCAGGACAGTCGATCGGCAGGAGCAGGGTTGGGCACCCCTGTTGTAAAGTGTTACCAAAAACTGTTTACTTGTTCAACTTCACCAATCGTTGTGCCTGCCCCTGTTTGGTTTTTGCCACCCCACTACACCTACAGCAAACGCACCAGATGTCCAAAATAAAATGTTCAAGGACCTCAAAATGGTAAAGGGCTTAGCATATTGTTTGAGAATATACATTTACCTCGCAATTTGAAGAGTGCCCCTTTGAATAAATAACTGAGAGAAATGGCTTCATCTGAGTTAAGTTTAGCACTTCTGGGAATGCTAGAGCCACATTTTTGCAGATAGGGCCAATATCGGCACATTATGTCAGTGCAGAAGAACTTGGAGTTTGATTTTGTGGCCAGTTCGTTTTGCAGAAACAAAGGGTGTGCAAATATCTCCCCTCTCAACATAACATCATGACTTTTGCGTAAACATACACGCCACTTTCGAGTCAGGTGGCGTGTTATCTCTACGCATTTTGAGCTATCCGTGTGTATCCGCGTGTATGTCTACGTCATTAACGTCCGCGTCATTCCGCGTGTCCGTACACGCGCGTCAAATGTCCAGTCATAAATGCCATTAACCCCAGTGACGGTTAGGTTTAGGGACGGGGTTGAGGTAAGTCTTATATTTATATTACGTTAAGTCAACGGCGTTCATAAACACGCTGAAAGGCGATTATGCGTCTTGATAGCACGCCAAAAATGGAAATACGAATTGGCGTGGCATACACACGCTACTTCATGAGATCAGTCTGCCCCTCTAAACATGTTCAGACCTCTTAGCAATATGCAGTGTCTACAAACTGCCACCTCTAGGCCCTCTTCATCACATTTGCTGTTTGTCTTTTTAGAGGTCTCCCTGGCTGCAGCCCATGTTGATGTTCTACAGATGCCTTTTCCATGTACATGTAACACAGTGTCATATCAAATATATGAAAACTAAATCATGATTCAATGTGTACAATCCCAGTCTTTTGACACATATCTTACTGGAATGGTCTTCCATTGTTCTCCTCATTTGTAAGTCACATTGGATAAAAGCGTCTGCGTCTGCTAAATAATTAATATAGATGTAATAATATACCTCTTTGTTTTGTTGAATCGATATAATTTTCTGTTTCCATCTGCAGACACAGCAACTCTATCTTGGGGTGCAAGCTGGGCAAGAGAAGTGATCAATGCCGCAGAGTTTTTCTCTTTCATGACGACATTATGTCCATTCAAGGAAAGCTTTTTGGAAGACGTTGCCACAAATGTTACCACTCTGGAATTATATGAATTTGAATAGAGTGACATGCCAGTGAGACTTGCATAAATGCAAAAGAACGAATGGCTTTCCATGTCTTACCCATCCAAATTGTTGTGGGCGCTCTTGTAACTTTTTCACAAATGCTTGTCTTGAAAGCCCAGGTGCAGTGATCTTCAGGTCCTCAAAATAAGGTTTGAAACCCAACAGAGCCTGGCCAGTAACCACTAAACAACAGGTCTACCACCTTAGGTGTCCATGATGCAAGACATGTTCTGCAATGAAAGCCAATGTATAATCCTGTATCTGAGGCAAAATCACTAAATATGCAGCACGAGTTATGTATTCCTAACTCCAAACAATTACCCACTGAACCAGCTTATAAAATCTTCCTCAAGGCTGTGCTGGCTACATTTGAGGTGCAGGTGATGGCCCAGACAGCAAACTGACATTGAATCAACGTGGAAACGACGTCTCTCATGACATTGAAACAACGTTGATTTTGCTCATCGAATTAACGTTGAACCAACGTCAGACGCGGCATTCTTCAAAGCTAAATGAAAATTGGTTTGCTTTCATAACGTTGAAACAACACGTTGATTTCAAGTTGATTTTCCGTTAGTTTTGAAAGAATGACGCGTCTGACGTTGGTTCAACGTTAATTCGATGAGCAAAACAATGTCAGATCAACGTTGTTTCAATGTCATATTTCCACGTTGATTCAATGTCAGTTTGCTATCTGGGGGGGTTTCTCAGATTTCGCTTGATACCGGTAAGCATTAGCCTCGATAGTAGTCGTGTCTCCTTCATTTTATATTTTGAATATATCCCTCCACTGCATACTGTAACCCCTTGTGCCTCAATCTGGAAGACATCACTGAGGTATTATTCCAAAAAAGGTCACTAAAACGCACAGGTATCCCTCTTCCTGTCGTGGTAATCTGTCACGCTGGTCATATTTTACCATTTGTTTGACGGTCATAGTAACAATAACTAGGGGGCATGGCTTTTACGAACAGTCAATTACTACAAGGAAACTTCAACTCAAAGCTGACAATGAACAAACTCAAAACAAACGTTCAACCCTCCACAGATAATGTATATTTAACAATACAGTTTTTTACAACCACTTTGTTACTATTTCCAGAACCTTGATGTCATTTTTCACAACTCTAGACACAAAACTCACAACCAATGATCAAAATGCACATTTTTCAAAACTCTAACCCTTTTCTCAATTGCTTGGATACAATACACATAAAAAATTTAGATCATTTGTAGATCATTTGTCTTAGATCACATAAATCACCTGTACAATATGACACAACTTAATGTGAAAGTACTAGGCAATTCACATTACATTTCAAATGAGTGTCTATTCATTTCCTTACAATGATCTAACTATCTATTGATACAACTGCTCAAAATGATAAGTAACTGTTGCAGTACTCTTAATGCATAGTTGTATGGAAACAGACACAATCTTCCATGTTTACTGTAAATCATGAAAGTTTCAAGATAACGAGATTCATTGTCATCAATGGAGCATGAACCAATTCGACTACAATATCCATGGATGTAGCCTACAGTATTTAAAATATTTTATATTTTTGCTTTCATTCCAGTAAATGTATGTTGTGATTGTACTTTAGTGTTTTGCATCAATATATTACAAACTTTGTCCACGAACAATGACACAGTGAAACTAACGGTTGCTTGTGTGTGAAAGATCTATAGTTATGTTTCATTTTTGAACCAATGAGACAGCCTGTGTTAAAAGTGATTACCGCTTTGAGTTTTGTGTCTAGAGTTGTGAAAAATAACATCAAGGTTCTGAAAATAGTAGCAAAGTAATTGTAAAAAACAGTAATACATTTCTGTTTGATTGAATTACTTTTTTTTTTCAAATTCATTTGCTTTAATTAATTTATCCTGTTTTTATCTGTTTGTAGAGATTTCAAAGTCTTTCAAACACTTTAATCAATTTCTTTTAACATTTTTATATAAAAAAATGTAAAAAACCACAACACACATTTCCTTCATTTAATATTTGTTTTCAGATGAAAAAGACCAAATTACTCTTCTCAAACCAGTTTTGTAGACAGGGGTGAGTTTGGGATCTAGTGCTTGGGTATCGATTCTTAGAAACCCTTACATTTACTGGGTAAAAGAAACTGAAAGTAAAGTTTCATAATGGGGAGGAGCAGCAGTAAGACATTATACAAATCAAGCTGAAGCTTGCTGCAGTTACAGATGAAGAGCAGATTCAAGAGGACACCTAAATAACAGTAAGTCTTTTACTTATCATTTTACATTACATAAACAGATTACAAACTTTTCCTATTCTAATGTTATTAAAATCTTCCAATTACTTTCAATATGGATGACACTCATTTTTGTTTTGTCCTTGTTGATTTAAATGATCAAATAAATATAAAACTATAATTAATTATATTTTTATTTTATTTATTAATTCTATAAATAAAAATAAATTATACCATGTATTTTCTAGTATAACAAATAGATTTACAAACTGTTGCAAATAGTTTGATTAAAAAAAGTGGTGTAAAAAACTTATTTACATTGATTGCAGATTTTTTTATATATGATTAAACAACCACTTTTTCAACAGTAGGATTTATAATCTGATACCCTTGTAATGTCAACAAGTTGTACAAAATTACAATAAAATATAGAACATCGTTATAATCTTTAAAATAAATTTCCTTTGAAATAAAATTTCTCTTATATTTCTAAATGGTATGTCATACTTGAAATGTAAAAAAACAACTGTGCCAAATCTATAATTAATAAATAGCTTTTGTGAATTGTTGTGACAAGGAGTGTAAGCGAAGACCTAAAGGCAGATTGACAAAAGACCAACAAGAGCTTCAGACTATGGCTACTCGTGGAACTCGGTACAGGATGAGGGGAGCGAAGCAGAACTCGAGAAATGACAGGAGAACAGGTGGACAGAAAGCGTCTCCCACAGAGAGCACTCGCAGTGGAGGAGACTCTGGCACAGGACTAAACGACAAACCAGGAACAAAAGTGAGGAAAGCAGTCTCCTTAAACAGAGTCAAAATGTCCAAATCTTAAAGGTCTAAATGACATCTTATACAGTAAAGTTAAAATTCATTGTAGAAGATTCAAAGGCCAACATGTCAAGTAGAATATACAATGCACAAAAAACAATGTCAATTTTTTTAATGTGATTTTAATAATTTGACTAATAATCAAAACTTTTCTAATTCAATCATTATTTTTCAAGACAAACAGTGATCGGTTGCTAACGCAGAAAAAAACAGGGCATAGTCCAGGTGAGTACATTTTCAGTTATTTTGCATTTTAAAGGGACACTTCTTCCATTTGCATTAAGCTTTGTATCTTTAAAAACCCAGTCATATTTTTGAATGGTCATGGTTTATTCCCTTATTTTCCCCTGAGATGGGAGAAATAAGGGTTTAAGTGTTTTACTTCCTGCTTATTATGACATAAAAATCGTCATTTTGCGTCACAATAAGCAGGAAGTCACATTTCATCGAAAAGTGTAGAGACTACAAACATTAGCTCATTACTATTCAAGGGTGTGGGACCCACTCACCCTATTACAGATCAGTGGGTGGGATTTCACTTGCAGAAACTGGAATCAATATCAGCCATATTGTTTTTGGAAGCAAAGCTAACAAGCGCTGTGGAGATAGGAAGTATGAGAATGAGGGAAGAAACTAAACATGATATGAAATTCTGCTGTTTGCGGAGCTGTGCTCTGTGGTGCATTGTGGAAGTTGTTGTCTTACACACAAATGCGCCCTTCAGTTATTTTCTGTCTTTTCTCGGTCAAAAGAGCACCAAATTCAAAAATTCGAATACATATATGATCCATTTTCAATAAAGATTAATGTTGAAATAGTTATGCTCCTGAAATGTGTTATGCTCCTTTAATAATATTTAACAATATTGCTGTTTTCAACTGTGTTCTTGATCAAATAAATGTAGGCTTGGTGTCCAATAACTTGGACGTCAGGCACAATTTGCGTCAAACGCGTGAATGCACCAAATAAGGGAGAATCTACCGCGCCACACAACATGCCTCATTCACATCGCAGGACCTCTAGGCGCACGTAAACGTGTCTCTACACGTAAACGGGAACTCTATTCGTGTTTGGTGTGACGCACCATTAAAACCACATGATCAGTGATTCGTCGATGTCAAGGGTAAAACATAATGGCAGACCATTAAAGTTGTGCAACCACTAGTATATTCGCTTTTGTTGCACTATTCTACCAGTCAACTTATAAATAGGGTTGGGTACCGAAACTCGGTCCCAATAGGGAACCGGTTCTGATGTAAACGGTAGTAACCAGACCGAATTAGAATGAACATTTCAGTGCCTGATTTCGATGCCTTGAGTCTGTTATCAATAAGCGGGAGACTCCTGAAACGTCTGCTGATAGCAAGGAGATTAAACACACGTGAAATGTACACGTGAAATGTTTGGCTGCATTTCACGTGTAAAATTACGCGTCAGAATAACGATTGTCTATGGATATAGAAGAATCACCATTCGCGCCGCGTTGACGCTCACGTCGTCATATTATACTAGCGCGCGCATCATCTGCTCCCGAAAAAGGAAGCTTGTCGGCAGCGCGAGATATTTGGCAGCGAACGCAGCGTCTCATTCCCTATTCAGAGAACATGGGTTAGGCCTACACAGAGACGTTCTCTTTCATATACTCAAAGCTGCGCATAAGTCGCAGTGGGAACGAAATATCAAACTGGCTAAGAGCTTAACTAGTAAATGACAAGATAACTTAGCCTACATAACTAGTTAAAGCAGACAAAACATGGAAACCTGTTGCCATGTCGATATTATATTACCCTGGTAGTAATCTCTATTAATCGCCAGTATAATTACATTGTTTAATATAATATTGTTTTATTTGATATTATGTAAATATGAACTTTTATTTTATATTGGTTTATTTATTATTACCATATGTTACTTGTATTTAAATATTGTAAGTTAATATTGTGTCCAGTCTGGCCCTGTAAATAAAGGGGTATTATTTTTTTGACAAAGTGTGTGCGGTTTCGTTTTCTTAAGTACCGTTTCAAGAACCGTTTAGGCACCGGAACCGTTAAAAAAATACAGAGTAGGTACTGGTATCGGATAAAACCCAACCGATACCCAACCCTACTTATAAACAATTAAAGGGTTAGTTCACCCAAAAATGAAAATTAAGTCATTAATTACTCACCCCCATGCTGTACCAACCCCGTAAGATCTTCGTTCCCAAACCAGATCATCCTCGGAACACAAATGAAGATATTTTATTCATTGACTTTCTGGGCCGACAAGAGTCAGTCCCTTAGGAGCCAATGTGGTAGTTATACAGCTCTCAAATTTAATCAAAAATATCTTTATTTGTGTTCCGAAGATGAACGAAGGTCTTACGAGGTTGGTACAGTATGGGGGTGAGTAATTAATGACTTAATTTTCATTTTTGGGTGAACTAACCCTTTTAATTAATAGGTGATACAATTATAATATGTTATACAATTTTAAATTATTTGATATTTTAGTGATATCGCTCAGGGTCTTTCTCACTTCTTTTGTATACTTTATTTATAAATGGACGTACAAACAATAATTTCCTTTTCCTTTAACCAGCAGAGGTTGGAAAAGGTCAGAATAAGAATATTAGTCAGTGCTGGTCTGCTGTTAACAACGATCTGGAAATGAAAAATGGAATGGAAAAAGACCACAAATATGGAAAGGGAGTAGGTGTTGCAAATCTTATAAAGAACAACCGGAGCAAACAAGTAGAAGATGGAAGCAATGAAAACCTACCCATCTTTAAACTCAACCTCTCTGAAACATGGAAGAACAGTAATGGATTCTGCAGAAGAAGCACATTTGGGAAAGAAAAAAATAAAGAGAACAAGACCATTATGATGATCGGAGCCACAGGTGCAGGAAAATCCACTCTAATTAACAGCATGATCAACTACATTCTGGGAGTGCAATGGGAAGATGACTTCCGGTTTGTGCTAATAGATGAAGGGAAGCAGAAATCTCAGGCTGAAAGTCAGACTTCAGAGATAACAGCATATCAAATCAACCACATGGATGGTTTCCGGGTTCCCTATTCTCTGACTATTGTGGACACACCAGGCTTCGGGGATACCAGAGGAATTTCACATGACCAGAAAATCACAACGCAGATTCAGGAGTTCTTCTCTGCCCGTGGAGGGATCGACCGCATCGATGCTGTGTGTTTTGTAGTACAGGCTTCACTTGCCCGTTTGACACACACACAGAAATACGTCTTTGACTCCATTCTTTCCATATTTGGGAAGGATATTGCTGAAAACATCCTTGTGCTAGTCACCTTTGCAGATGGGAAAAAACCTCCTGTTCTCGAGGCCATAAAAGTGTCTGAGGTTCCCTGTTCTACCAATGAGTCTGGAGAGCCACTTCACTTCAAGTTCAACAACTCTGCTCTGTTTGCCACCAATAATGAATCTCCAGAGGACAATGCGTATAGCTGTGGAAACTTTGACCAAATGTTCTGGAAGCTAGGATTTTTTAGCATGGAAAAATTCTTCATATCCCTCAACAAGATGGAAACCAAGAGCTTGTCTCTGACGCAGGAGGTCCTAAAAGAGCGTCAGCATCTAGAAGTGTTGGTGGAAGGTCTCCAGCCTCAAATAAACGCTGGTCTGACGAAACTGAATGAAATCAAGAAGACAAGAGCTGCTCTGGACCAGCACAAGACTGAAATGGAGGCAAACAAGGATTTTGAATATGAATTAGAAGTGATTGTCCCAAAACAGATCGAAAACAAATCAAGATACTTTTTGACCAACTGCCAAAAGTGTCACTTCACATGTCATGATGCATGCAAGTATGGAAATGACAGTGATAAAGAGAAGTGTTCTTCAATGACAAAAGGAAAGTGTCATGTCTGTCCTGGAAAGTGTGCCTGGAACGTGCACTCTAATCAGAAATACAAATGGGATTATGTCAAAGAAAAGAGAAAGGAAACCTATCAGGATTTAAAAAAGCGATTTGAGGATGCACATGGACAGGTCATGTCAAAAGAAAAGATCTTTGAAGAGCTTGAAAAGGAGCTTGATGTTGTTCAGGATATTGTGGCCGGACTAATTGAAAAATCTCAAGAGACCTTGGAGCGTCTGCAGGACATCGCCCTGAAGCCCAATCCTCTGTCCACTCCTGACTACATTGATCTGATGATCGAGTCTGAGAAGCAAGAGGCCAAGTCTGGATTTCAAGATCGCATTCAGTCTTTAATGGAAGTCAGGAAGAAGGCAGAGATCATCAGTAAGGTTTCCACAGGAGAAGCGCTTCCTGAGGATTTGAAAACGTACCAAACTGAAACAAGAAAAGAATCATCCTATGATTCATGGGTCCTGTTCAGTGAAGGGATCGGTAAAGGGTTCAGTAAAGCAAAGAATTATGTTAAAGATAAAGTAAGCTCTGCATTCAAGTAAAACTTTAAACCTTTTATCTACAATTACTACAGCTATAAACAAAAACATTTGGTTTTGTGGTAATAAGGTATGCATGCATCTTTATTCAACTTAAAAATTCTTTAGCTTAAAAATAGTATTCCTCTTCATTTGATGTATAATACATACCTGTATGATTTTGCCTAACACCTTGTTACATGAATGTTATGTATCACAAATTAGGAGCTTGTATAAGAATGCTGTTTTGGAATGATGTAGTTTTACTTTCATTGATCCTAGTCATTCATTTTGCATGAATTTTGCATGAAAAAAAGCAAGCAGGTAAAGGTGACAATCTAAGCATTGTGCTAATAAATACATTTAAAATGCATATATATTTTACTTTTGGGTGGTCTTTTTTGTTTAACAGTCAGGACATATCAAATGATATGAAAGGAAATCATAAAGAGAAAGGAAACATGTCATGAATGTCTGAAGACTAGATCTTTGTTGAGCTTGAAAAGGAGCTTAGGGTTGCCTATAATATTGTGGCCGGACTAATAAATAAAAACTCAAAAGACCTTGGAGCGTCCTCAGGACATCGCCCTGAAGCCAAATCCTCTGTCCACCCCTGACTACATTGATCTGATGATCGAGTTTGAGAAACAAGAAGCCAAGCCTGGATTTCAAGATCGCATTCAGTCTTTAATGGAAGTCAGAAAAAAGGCAGAGTTCATCAGTAAGGTTTCTACAGTAGGACTGCTTTCAGAGTATTTGGAATCACATACATCTGTAAACAGAAAAAAAAGAAAGATCATATGATCCAAGGGTCCTGTTCATTGATCTAAACAATTACTTTCATGCACTGTACTCAATCACAACTTGTTTAAAGTTTTTATTTTGTTGTAAAATGTTCTGCATTACTTTTGACACTTTAAAATACTTTAAACTGGCCTTTATCTTCATTTAGGGCTGGGCGATATATCGCACGATATTGTTATGCGCATCTAATCAGTAAAGCCGGTTCCTTATAGTGTTATACAAACACACAGTTACAACAACCAAAGAGAAGTTAAAGTAAGAAGAATTGGGACCAAGAGCCCAACTAAAGCAAACACTCATCACCACAATGGTGACTTAATGAAACATATCAACATCTAAACCTCATCTAAACAATGTAAGGAAATGACATTGATATAAACATGAATTTTAAACACGATGGCCACATTTGACCTTTAATTCTGGCTCCTCAGTGGACGTCTTTTCAGCATCCGACTTTTGTGACAGACGATGAAAAGACATCTTTTGGACATCATGTTGTTTAGTGGGCAGTCTATCTAATGTTGGCCCACCAATAGATTTGAAATATTTTTGTAGTTTTGGCCAGATTACTAGTTTTGAATGAGTGATCTGAAAGGTTTTCAGACCGAAATGAACGGGTCCAGATCGGATCCGGAAAGGGTCTGCCGCGGATCTAGTTTGGATCCGCAATCCGGATCTGTTCCGGATCCGTTGCGCTGTGCAAGTGGACTCCGTTCCGGACCTTGTTCTTACCTCCGCGGCAGATCCGTTCCGGATCTGTTTGCTATGTGGGAAGTATTTAAAGGGGTTATTTACATTCTGAATGTCAATTGTATTGAATGAAATGTTGTAAATAATCCTAAATGATTATGTGTGTTATTTACATGCATTTGAGTTTGTATAATTTTGTTGTTGTCATTTAACATATATATGACAATTATTTATGCAGTATTTTGAATACTATTGTGTACACAAGATATAGAATATAAACCTAGGTAGTAGATCAATTGTATGAGTAGTGACTAAATCATGGGTCCTGTTTATTTAATACAGGCCAGGTGTGACCAGTTGCAGGCCAGTTGATGGCGAGCCATTATTACTTGGAACTGAACCGGCCAAGTAACATCATTGCCTTGTGGGGTTGGTATGAGGCTGTTGTAGTCTGCTCACCCCTTCTACTCTCATTCGTACACACACAAACACACATAGAGCCATTCGATAAATTCTGGCTCATGGACTATTTGCATCCCACGGACCATTCTTGTGTGTTGTGGACTGTTTTTAATCTGAGTATTTTCCAGTTATGAGAAATATTTTGTCTGGATTCCTATGAACTACTGAACCTTTCTGCAGTTTGGAAAAATTATGGGTATGACGTCATTGTTGTTCTGTCTTTGTGTTTCACTTAATACATGGTGTAATGTATTTGAGTTGTTACAATACCTGATGGCCACTAGAGGGCACCCCCGTGCTGTTGGTTATTGTTGTTGCTGTATGCCGAATAAACGTGTGCAAACAATGCAGTCAGATCTCTGGCATTCCTCGTGGAGTATCCTGAAACATAAATGAAGTATTTAAGGTTATTATAGCATATTGATGCATACATAACATAAACTGGCGACGAGAATAAAGTTCCCACGGCAAATATCGAGTCAAAAAGAGAAAAAAAGGATGGCGTCTACGATCATCGGATAAATCGAGGCATTCGACGAGGCAAGAGAACAATGGCCTACGTATCTTGAACGTTTTGAACACTTTGTGGAGGCAAATGACATTAGTGAAGAAAAAAAGGTGTCAGTTTTTCTCAGTGTAATGGGGGCATCGACCTATGGACTATTGCGTAGTCTAATTATTTGACATTTTTATTAAAGAGGAATAGCCCCTTGAGATGAACCATCTCCTTTTCGAGGGGGTCCTCGATTCTAGATTCAAATAAAAAATTGACCTTACAGCAGCTGGAATTTAACATAACAAATAGCAAAAGCCAAAAACAAAAAACAAATACACAAGAAAAACAAACAAACAAACAAAAAAAATGCTATTCAGTAGTACTATACAGCTAAATATATAAGCCAAAACCAAACAAGACATTCATTCATACAAGACTCCCAAAAGGTGACACACTCCTCCCTAAACAAAGTAAACCATATCATTTGTACCAAGACAACATTAAAACACAAGTAAAATCTTATACAGACAAAAAATATATATGTACCATGCCAAGAAAAAAGTTACAGTGAGAAATAAATATAATAAAATAAAATAATGCTAATCAAAAGCAATTGCATGTATTCTGAAGATGTTGAGCTAAATGACTTTTAAATATTGGAAAGGAAGTTAAAAAGCGAATTGAAATTGGAAGTTTATTCCAATCAAATGGTGCTTTATATTGAAATGCATATCTACCTATTTCTTAATTGCACCAGTTAAGCCCGGAACGATGGACTATGAAGAGATTGTGAACACACTTAAAGCACATATCAGAATATCAGTAACCAGACAGTTTCTGGTCTCATTGACTTCCATAGTATATATTTTTTCCTACTATGGAACTCAATGAGACCAGAAACTGTCTGGTTACTGATATTCTTCTAAATATCAGAAAATTGGCTGAATGGATTCGAAAATTGTAAAACCCGACTGTTTAACTCTGGGGGAGTTGTAAAATGAGCCTATTTCCAAAAAAAGTGGAGTATCCCTTTAAGATATTTTAGATTTAGTCGGTGAGCTTTCTGTTCCTCTATTGAAAATGTATGTACTTTATACTGTCCATGTCCATAAAGGCAATACAGACATCATCAAAGTAGTCCATGTGACATGAGTGGGTTAGTTCGAATTTTTTGAAGCATCGAAAATACTTTTTGGTCCAAACATAGCAAATACAAAAACAATGACTTTATTCAGCATTGTATTGTCTTCCGGTTCTGTTGTGGATCCGCGTTCAGTGACGCTGCTGACGCTGACGTATGACGCGGCTGACATGTGTCTGGTGCGTCCGTCCGTGTATTCGGGTTCAAATAAACATGGGCAAAAAAATGCAAGTCTTCCTCTGTGTGGAAATCCTTAGACATGTTTGCGAAGATAGTTTTGTACAGCGTGCGTCTCCCTCAGACTGTGAACGAAGCTCGGACGCACCAGACACGCGTCAGCCGCGTCTCACCTCAAGCGTCGGACCATCGTCCGCTTACTACCATACTCCATCCGAACAAAGCAACCCCATCCATGGCTGCTGCACGACTTCAGAGGTGGGCTCTGCTGCTAGCTGCACACACCTACAGCATTCAATATAGAAGTGCTAATGACCATGGGAATGCTGATGGGTTTTCAAGGTTGCCACTGCCGGTACAGCACAGAGACAAGAAAGATACAGTGGACACTTATCTCATAAATAAAATGGATGCACTTCCAGTGCGTAATAGTGACATCAGTAAAGGAACCAGAGCAGATCCGATCCTATGTCGAGTGAAAGAGATGGTATCTACTGGATCATTTCCATCTGCAAAAGATTCAGAAAATGCACTGAGGCCATACCTCACAAGGAAGGAGGAACTCTCACTGATGCAGGACTGTCTGATGTGGGGACAACGAGTTATCGTTCCATCAAATCTGAGACAACGAGTGTTGGAGGATTTACATACAGGACATTCAGGGGTAGTAAAAATGAAGGCTCTAGCACGTAGCTACATCTGGTGGCCAAATATCGACTCACAAATTGAAGAGAAATCAAAAACATGCATGTCTTGTCAACAAAATCAAAAATCTCCGTGTCTCTCACCTCTTCACCCCTGGGCATGGCCGGAAGCTCCTTGGCAAAGAATCCACATCGACTTTGCTGGTCCATTCGAAGGACGAATGTTTCTGGTAGTTGTTGACGCACACTCAAAATGGCCAGAGGTCCAGGTGATGGATTCGACAACTTCCTCGAAGACAATCCAAGTGATGCGTGGTCTGTTCAGTCGCTACGGTTTACCTGAAACACTCGTTAGTGACAATGGCCCATAATTTACTTCCGAGGAGTTTGGATGTTTTCTGAAAGCAAACGGGGTTAAACACGTCCGCTCTGCACCATTCCACCCAGCCACCAACGGGCTAGCTGAGCGGTTCGTGCAGACTTTTAAACACTTACTTAAAGCATCTAAAGAACCAGTACCATTACAGCAGAGATTACACTCTTTCTTGTTACAGTACAGGAATACACCACATAGCACAACAAAAGAAGCACCTGCTTTGTTATTCTTGCATCGCAGATTGAGGACACGACTGGATCTACTGAAACCAAGTGTGAAAATGACTGTGGAGCAAGCACAGAAAGTACAATGTTCTCGCCGTGCCCTCCATGCCAAACACAGAGATTTCAATGTGGGTGACTCAGTGCTGGTCAGAGATTATCGACGAGGAGAGGAGAAGTGGAAAACCGGTACTCTTTCTTCTCAGTCAGGACCAGTGTCGTACACAGTTCAGGTGGACAGTTCACAAAGCTGGAAAAGACATGCAGATCAAATGTTAGACTGTCATCCAGAAATAACAAAAAACACAGAACCACTGTCATCAGAGAACAGTACATCACAAACACTGGATATTAAGGGGCAAGAACTGCCTGTAACATCTAATGACACTGAACCAAATGCTTTAGATCAACAGGTAATCTCTTGATTCTATGCAGAATTAAATGCACGCAGGTGATTTTTGAATATTAATGAACGAATATTAATGTCGATATACAATGGTTTGTTAAAGGACAACTCCGGCGCAAAATGAACCTTTAGTCTAATTACACATTGTTACGTAGTTGACCGTTATCTGAGATTTGTTTTCATGATTGCCGAATGTAAAGAGTTTTATCTCTAAAAACAGTTTAGCCTATAACGCTAGTATAATGCTAGTATATAGGGCATAGAGTAATGACAAATAAAAATCACTTGTTATTACCACTAAAAAGGCTCAAAATAGCCCCACAGTAACACGACAGCATAATAAGGCTCCCTACATTCAAAACGAAGCATTGAGAACTTTGTCAGTGTCCATACAGTTTAATAAGAAGATATTTTATACACACAGTAAATTTCGCGAATACAGGAAGAAGCCATCTTGGAAAAATAGTCTCTACCAGTCGATCTACGAACGCCGATCCAAGTGCGCTGGTGAGATGTGAATAAGGTGATAAGGTGAGCGCGAACAGTAGGCTACGTGTACATATTAAAGATAAGTAAACGGTTTGTGTTTGTGTTTCTTCTGGAAACAACGGACCATATGAGATTCTGCAGAGTTCAGCGCACTTGGATCGGCGCTCGTAGATCGACTGGTAGAGACTATTTTTCAAAGATGGCTTCTTCCTGTATTCGTGAAGTTGACTGTGTGTATAAAATATCTTCTTATTAAACTGTATGGACACTGACAAAGTTCTCAATGCTTCGGTTTGAATGTAGGGACCCTTGTTCTGCTGTTTTGTTGGTGTGGGGCTATTTTGAGCCTTGTTAGTGGTAATAACAAGTGATTTTTATTTGTCATTACTCTATGCCCTATATACTAGCATTATACTAGTGTTATAGGCTAAACTGTTTTTAGAGATAAAACTATTTACATTCGGCAATCATGAAAACAAATCTCAGATAACGGTTGACTAGGTAGCAATGTGTAATTAGACCAAAGGTTCATTTTGCGCCGGAGTTGTCCTTTAAAACTAATCCTGCTATTGATCTCTTTGTAAGACCCTAGAACAGTGGCTATAGGGAAAACAAATGTCAGGCGAAATATTTCGGACCTAAAACTAACTTTACCGCGCTCAACCACCGCAAGTGCATTTCAAGCATTTGTAAAGCCTTGTGTATAACTCAACGTGTCCGCACGCGCGCCTCTCCAAACGGACGAGGCGTTTATACTTTATATAGTTTATACTTTATGCATTTACACTTTATACAGTTTATACTTTATATAGTTTATACTTTATGTGTTTATCGCTCGCGTTCAGCGGGGAGGAAGGGAAGTTGCTCCATATCGGGAGAAGCAAGATTCGTTGAGATTAATTAATCTATTTATTTATTAATTTATCTGAGGTGCCGGAACGCAGTTCCGGACCGTTCCGGCCCACTTTAACCCCTGGCCATGACTATGCGTCCTCCTATGGGTGGAGCTGCCTATTTATAGACATTTAATTAATTCATTACAAAAATCACACCAACTGAACAAATAGGCCTAAATTTATTTCTTTACATTTGTTTCATTTTTTGAATATTCAAATGTATTACATTTATTTTTAAAGTGCATTTGTTTTCATTGTTGGACTGATAGTGGTTACATGAAATAAAATGGCAGCATGCCAGAGAGTCTGATGTAATATCATCAAATTCCCAGTGGGTCAGTGTTAAAACGGTATTTGGTTAAGCAGCATTTCAGGGTTAGCCCGGCAGTTAGCCTGCCCTGGACCAGGCTAGTTTCCAAGCATAAGTTTCCAGGGTAACTGAGTTTAAACTATTTTAAGTTTGATTTATGAAACGGAATTCACCGACAATAAATCTGACTAACCAAAATAAGCCTGGTTTATTTTCTAATCTTGTTTTATGGAACAACCCTCTGAAAATAACAAAAGTCCACACAAGACAAGGGAAACACAAGACAGGAATCACAACATAGTGCATCAAAACAAGCGGTGTTTGGGAAATATACATGAAAATATGAGGAAAAGAAAATGCCAGTCTCTTTATTCTTAAAGAAAAAATAGTCTCTTTATTCTCTTATTTAGGGTGAAGAGATACAGTTTAAGGATCAGCAACAAACTATACTTTTAGTAATAAAGATATTATTTAACATTATTGGATTTACTGCTTTAACAAAACACTTTTGAGTCACGTGATATTCATGGGTCTGTCTCAGTGCTGAAACTCTTTATACAAAGTTACATGTATGGACAGCTCAGACTATTATACAGTAATCTATTGCAAATTTCAAACATATTAGTCCTCATTAATATTGCTTAATCATGTTAATTATTCTTTATGATTTCCATCTTAAATCATACGCTGAAGGTTCAGTATTATTTGAATCACATTCTGCAAAGCTCCTGTTATTTTAAGGGGAACAGTAGGAAACCACTGAAAGTGCTGTGGTTATTCTGAGTATCATATATCCACCTGCCAGACCAAAGTCTCACATAGACAACATCTCCAACCTCCAGGATCAACACAACTCCATTAGAGGAGTTTAAACCATCCTGAGGCTGATAAGCATCTGCTATAACCACATGTTGTCCATTCTTAACAATGCCTGCAGTTGTTGCAGTTGGGCCATGACCATATATAGAGAATCTGAACATGTACGCTCCTTTCAGCGGGGCTGTGAAAATACCTAAATCAAATAACAAGAAATACAGAATCAGATGTTTCCTGTATGATCGCTTAATCATCAAACAAAACATAACACTGTTTAATAGTTTTAAAAGATGGCAGATCATTTAATTCTCTTATTCACATTACACAACTGCAGAGAAGTCTGAATGGAGCAGAAGGGTTTTCATTACTATAAACTGAGTTTTATGACTCATTTCATTGATAATTACCTGTGATTGGGTTGTAGGCGTTCCCTATATTTGTGAAGACGTTCCTGTAGGTTAGTGTGATTTCATTGGCAAAAGGACCAATATCTCCACCGCCAGATTGCACCAGTGAAGCTGAAAAAGCTATTTCTCTGTCTGTTATTGAAAAACATAAGCAAAATTATGATATATTACACTCTATTACACTGATGATGTTTACACTTAATTTAACGTCATTCAAGCACACTTTCACCTCTATTTTCCTTTCTCAACTCCACTTGACCCAGAGTAAGATTTGATATTTCTGTGAAAGAATTAAGATTCTGTTAAATGACATTTACACTGATTATTGTAACACATTAAAGAAAAGGTTTTACACAGTACACAGTATATACTCAACTTTTACACTAACGTTTACACTATGCAATTTATTTAATTGGTGTTTTACTTGGAGGATCATTGATAAAAGAGTGAATGTTTTGGTGAGGTACCATAATTTTTCTTGTTCAATTCTTCTAGAATAACATAATTTTTCTTGTTCATCTCTTCCAGGATAAACGTCTGTTTTTCACTCAGTCTCGTCTCTAAAGCTCTGATGTTTGTTTTCTGCTCTGTAACTGTGGTGGTCAGTTTTCTGATGTTTGTTTTCTGCTCTGTAACTGTGGCGGTCAGTTCTCTGATGTTTGTTTTCTGCTCTGTAACTGTGGCGGTCAGTTCTCTGATGTTGGTTTTCTGCTCTGTAACTGTGGTGGTCAGTTCTCTGATGTTGGTTTTCTGCTCTGTAACTGTGGCGGTCAGTTCTCTAATGTGTGTTTTCTGCTCTGTAACTGTGGTGGTCAGTTCTCTGATGATGGTTTTCTGCTCTGTAACTGTGGCGGTCAGTTCTCTCAGCGCTGCATGGATGTCAGTGAAGAACAGATGGTAGTTTTTTTGGCTGTCAGTTGAAGCTTCATCTCTCAAAGTGTCTGTTTGAGGTGGATTCTGTCCTCCGTCCTCAGACCTGAGCTGTTGACTGATCTCATTATCATTGAGTCCTCCATCAACCTGATGCTGTACGACACACACAAAGGTTTCCAACAGCAGCAGTAAACACACTAAACCCTTCATTCTTCACTGATGTTTGTTTCCAGCTCTTGCTCTTCATCCTCACAGCCTCTCATGTCCCTTTTATAGTGTCCTGATTTACTGTTTTTTGTACTTTATCTATATTGCTTCAGATAAATAAGTAGGTCAAGTTAATTGTTAATCACAATCAAAGGGATGTTCAGGGTTCTGTAGATGTTTATCTCTGAGTCAAAGTTATTTTCTATTGCACAAATGTTTTGACTAAAGTTCATGATCAGTGGTCGGTGTCCTTATGTGAAGCGGAGGGATAATCACAGAAGCACACACCTCTGATTATACGAATCAGTTGTCATGAATGGTTAAAATCTCACACTTAATAGTATTTATTAGTGTCAAAAACACCCCTCTACACTCTAATGGAATCCAAGGAACTAGAGCCAAACAGATATTTTAGAAAGCTTAAAACCAATTTATTTATTTATATAGGCAGTTCTTCCCACAATAAATAGGCACTTTACAAAATAATAAAATCAGTTTCCCCAACAACAAAACAACAGCTGTCCAAATTGCTCCTTCAGCCAGTCCACTTGGGCAGGGAGTGTGGCGATCGATAGGCACCGGGGTTCCCTGGGGGCGTGGCCAAGTATCGACGCGTCAAAGCAGGGATCCCGGAAATAGCGTCTTCGCCACCGGCAGTGTTGCTCCTCTGACCCAAACAAAAAAAGATTTGTGGAAATCAATATAAGACAAACAGCAGCAGAGCTTAAAGGGTTAGTTCACCCAAAAATGAAAATTAAGTCATTAATTACTCACCCCCATGCTGTACCAACCCCGTAAGACCTTCGTTCATCTTTGGAACACAAATAAAGATATTTTTGATTGAATCTGAGAGCTGGATCAGTCCTACATAGACTGCCTAAGGGACTGGCTCTTGACGGCCCATAAAGTCATTAAAGAAAAGGTTTAAATATTCCATGTGCCTACAGCAACTCAATTATAAGTTTATCAAGCGACGAGACTACTTTTTGTGCAAAAAAAACATAAATAACGACTTTATTCGACTATTCTATTACTTTCTTATGGGCGCATCCGCGAGAACTGAGACGAGGACGTTCTCCTTCGACTACTTTTTGTTACCGGCTGCTCACCGCTTAGGAGTATTACCGCCACCTACCGTATAAGATGATGATCCATATATAAGGTGCTCCAGATTATAAGGAACACTGTCGTTTTTTGAGAAGATTAAAGGCTTTTAAGTGCACCTTAAAGTGCGGAAAATACGCTAATTGAAAAGCGTATGTACAGCGCGCATCTTCACCTGCTTGTAAACAGAGAGTTTTACGCTTCCAGCTATATCAGCACATCATCTTATACGGTAGGGGGCGGTAAAACTCCTAAGCGGTGAGCAGCCGGTAACAAAAAGTAGTCGAAGGAGAACGTCCTCGTCTCAGTTCTCGCGCATGCGCCCATAAGGAAGTAATAGAATAGTCGAATAAAGTCGTTATTTATGTTTTTTCCGCACAAAAAGTAGTCTCGTCGCTTGATAAACTTATAATTGAGCCGCTGTAGGCACATGGAATATTTAAACCTTTTCTTTAATGACTTTATGGGCCGTCAAGAGCCAGTCCCTTAGGCAGTCTATGTAGGACTGATCTAGCTCTCAGATTCAATCAAAAATATCTTTATTTGTGTTCCGAAGACGAACGAAGGTCTTACGGGGTTGGAACAGCATGGGGGTGAGTAATTAATGACTTAATTTTCATTTTTGGGTGAACTAACCCTTTAAAGTCTCATTCATGGGCCAGTGCAGAAAAAATACTTTCCTGTCCCGGATGGAAAAGACACCTTTTTCTCCCACTCCCTCGGTTTGTCTGACGGCTGAATCCAGTGTGGCTTGGCAAATTATTCGCCCTAGAAGGAATCAGAAAACAGTCCTCAACAAAAGTGGCTGCAGTGAGCACTAGACCAGGGGTTCTCAACTGGTCCCACCATGGGACCCACATTTTCCCATGGTCATTAAGTCGCGACCCACTTTTTTAGAATTCAACCAACAAAATTTATTCTTCAAAAATAACTGTTGAAAACACTCATATATCATCTTTACATACATGCATACTGGTATATTATCCCGTGCAACGTACATTTCAGAGCATATTAATAAGTAACTGGACCCTGACAACCGCATGTTCAAATGTTAATTAAATAAATAGGGCCAGATAACAAGATATTTTTACTCTATTCAGAACAAATTATTAAGAAACTAAGGAGGACCATAAAAACTGCATGTACAAAAGTGAATAAAATCAATGTCAAAATCACTTAAAATAAATAAGCCCACAAAACAAGATATTTTCACTGCATTATGAGCAAATTATTATGAAACTAAGGAGGACCATGAAAACTGCATGCAAAAAAGTGAATAAAATCAAAGTCAACTTTTCACCTAATTTGTGAAAGTTAACGAGACAAGCGAGAATGTGGTTGTTTAAATCTCAAATCTGTAGTTTATTTATAAAGATAGCGCCTATTTGAAAAATGCATCTGACATTTTCGGAGTTCTGACATCCAAGCCTTCAGCGGACACTCAGCGAGATCAACCCCGACTGGAACAGCTTATCCTCGGCTAGTGCTTCTGACGTTTGCCGCCGGCTCTGATCCCTCTAGTCTAGTGGATATGATCAACTCGATGTATAATTCGTCTTGTGTATACTGTAAGTCTATCTTTGATCTCATTAAACTATAGTTTGTTCCATGGCAAAAAAAAATAAAATCTTTTTTGAGGTTTCATAACTTTATTTAACTTTAACAATTTTTTTTATATTATCTTCACTATATGAACAATAAAATAAAATTACATAACCCTGTCTCTGTTTGATAAATGTCAATAAAAATCAATGTTTCATATTTTTAAAATGAAAACAAAAATATCATGTTCATTTTGTTATGTGCAGTGAAGAGAATCGCGTTGCCTACACCACATGGCCATTAGGCTAATATGTTGATTTTTTTTTTGTGAAAAGAGGCAGAGTGGTGTTTTATAACATGTTTTGTTTTATTGTTGACGAAAAGAGGCTGAGTTATAGCATATTTCGTTTTATTGTTGCTTAAAATATATATAAAGAGATAACCGGAGTAGCCAGAGCGTGCTGATCATGCTGAGTGCTCTGTTCCATTTGCAGAAGAACCGGACTTGCGTCCTCTCGTCCTCGGGAGTTCGTTCTCCTGAGTCGAACTTGCCAAGTCTGAACTACCAAGGACACATGTCCGAACTTTGCGTAATTGGTATTGAGAAACGGTTAAAGTCCTGGTTGGGAAACTTTCTGTTTCATGCTCAACTAAGGACTTTTCAGTATCTGCTGAATAAATATTTGTGCCAACTTTGTGGTCCTGTTTGGGATTGACCCCCATTTGAGTACTACTACAAGGCTCATGATTGGACATAGCTTCATTTGACTGTTGGATTACCATTATGGACTTCCTTTCCTGACGGGAGGGCTATATGTTGGACTACAGTCATACTACGTTGAATTTCATTTACCATCAAGCCTCCACATCATTTTGACTCCTTAAAGACAGTTAAGGCTTGCATCTAACTTTCACACTTTAACCTTAACTTTCCACAACAGTGAAAGTTATAAAGACTGAAAGTATATATTACTGGAACTTCATCTCATGAACATCTTGGTGTGCTGGATGTTTTTGTAACACTGTTGAATATTGTTTCTTTATTATGAGTCTATGTTGGTGATTATATAAAGTCATATTAGGTGTTTACATTGCTGTTTTTTTATTATTTTATTCATTGGATTAAAAACATGTTGATGCTGATGACCCTCCCCTATAAACAGATTGTTAATTATCATTTACTCAGAGTAGCACGTGTTGGTTATCCACAAGTTTCCGAGGGGCGCTCCTGTAAAAAATAAAGTGGGTGAAACTTCCGGTGACACGGCGGAAGTAGCATTCCAATGGTATTTTGTGTGTTAGTTAGCGAAGAGGCTAGCTGTTTTTCGGAGAATTATTTTACTATTTAAAGACGCAAATCTTTATGAGAGATGTCGTTTACGGAGCTCAGGGACAACATGTGCTGTTCGCGGTTGTATGTATAACCGGACTAAACTAGTTCAGTGGCTTAAACGTGATTGTTTTAAACATAAGCTGAAAACGAAATCAGAGTGTTCCTGCCAACGACTGTAGTTTCCATCACCTCCCAAAAGACGACGAATCTTCCTGTGTACATTTGTTTAAATTCTTAATATTCTATAAACTTTTATCAGCATGTGTTTGGCTGTTCTCTACTGATGTTGCACCTAAACTCAGGATCAAAGCCGGTGTTGACAGTAGTGTTAAACGAAAATATTTTCGTCAACGCACATTTTTCACCGAACGAAAACTAGACGAGACGAGACTAAAATCCCCACTAATAAACAATAACTGGGAGTAAATCAGAAATAATTTTCGTAGACTAATAAAGACGAGACGAAAATGCAGTTCGGTAAATAAAGACTGGGCTAAAATCTATGGACATTTTAGTTCACGAACAAAGACGAGACGAAAATTACATATTATTATATGATATGGTTTTGTCAAATACTGTCTCCTCCTCCGCCTCCTCCTCGTCAGCTCTTCCGCCACA